AAATTTGAAAGCAATCCTATTGTTGTGAACAGAGTTATATCAGATTTTTCGACGAATCGTTCAATTTATCGTAAGTCGTGTCTGATTGTTCATTTAATAATAAAAATTATAACTTTTCTGCCAACGTAAAAGTAATGTGGTATTATTGTATCATACTTAGGCATTAACTATACAAACTTTGAAAGCAATCCTATTGTTGTGAACAGAGTTACATCAGATTTATCGTCGAATCGGTCAATTTATCGTAAGTCATGTCTGATTGTTCATTTAATAATAAAAATAATAACTTTTCTGCCAACGTAAAAGTAATTTGGTATTATTGTATGATACTTAGGCATTAACTATACAAAATTTGAAAGCAATCCTATTGTTGTGAACAGAGTTATATCAGATTTTTCGACGAATCGTAATAAAAATTATAACTTTTCTGCCAACGTAAAAGTAATGTGGTATTATTGTATCATACTTAGGCATTAACTATACAAACTTTGAAAGCAATCCTATTGTTGTGAACAGAGTTACATCAGATTTATCGTCGAATCGGTCAATTTATCGTAAGTCATGTCTGATTGTTCATTTAATAATAAAAATAATAACTTTTCTGCCAACGTAAAAGTAATTTGGTATTATTGTATGATACTTAGGCATTAACTATACAAAATTTGAAAGCAATCCTATTGTTGTAAACAGAGTTACATCAGATTTATCGTCGAATCGTTCAATTTATCGTAAGTCGTGTCTGATTGTTCATCCAATAATAAATATTATAACTTTTCTGCCAACGTAAATGTAATTTCGTATTGTTGTATGATACTTAGGCATTAACTATACAAAATTAGAAAGCAATCCTATTTTTGTGAATCGAGTTACAGCAGGTTTTTTTATCGAAATTCAGTATTTTTTGTTGGTTACGTACGTTTACTCATTAATTGTGTTAATTTTATGTTTTCTGCCAACGTAAAACCTATTTAGTATTATTGTACAACTCTTAGGGATAAACTGTAAAAAATTAGGAAGCAATCCTATTGTTGTAAACAGAGTTACGTCAGGTTTTTTGTCGAATCGTTCAATTTATCGTAAGTCATGTCTGATTGTTCATTTAATAATAAAAATTATAACTTTTCTGCCAACGTAAATGTAATTTCGTACTATTGTATGATACTTAGGGATTAACTATACAAAATTAGAAAGCAATCCTATTTTTGTGAATCGAGTTACAGCAGGTTTTTGATCAAACTTCAGTATTTTTTGTTAGTTACCGTACGTTTACTCATTAATTGTGTTAATTTTATGTTTTCTGCCAACGTAAACCCTATTTAGTATTATTGTACGATACGTAGGCATAAACTATACAAAATTAGGAAGCAATCCTATTGTTGTGAACAGTTTGTGTATTCTATTTATGGAAGCACGAGCTACATCAGGTTTTTCGTCGAATCGGTCAATTTATCGTAAGTCATGTCTGATTGTTTATTTAATAATAAAAATTATAACTTTTCTGCCAACGTGAAAGTAATTTAGTATTATTGTATGATACTTAGGCATTAAATATAGAAAATTTGAAAGCAATCCTATTTTTGTGAAAAAAGTTAGGACAAATTTCCCGTCGAAAAACTCGAGTTTTCGCTAATAAACAGCGTTTATTCATTTAATATGATTGTTTAAATATTTTTTTTTAATCTTAAAAGGCCCTGGTTCATTGTATAGTAATTTGATGCAGGAAAATGACTGTTTGCTCTCTTTGTTCATTAAAAAAAAACTCAATTTGAGGGGCGTGCCATATACTACGCAGGCTATGTCCGTCGGCTAGCTCCGTCGGCTAGCTTCAGCTTCATTATTAGCATCGCATTTTTCGTTCCAAGGTTCTTTGAAATGTGAAATTGGTCAATATGCATGTGTGTATTGTTTTTAATGTACGTGTGCGCGTGCGCACGTTGCGTTAATAGCCCGCGTGCCGATAAGGTGGTGGTGGCGGCGATAGGCAGCGATGTCGATAGGGCTTCGCGCGCTATCTGCTAGTTTCTTAATCTTCTCCTTAACCGATACAGTGATAAGGTTATCATCATTAACTTTCAATTCACAAAAATACCATCAATATTGATCGACCAACCGTTTAATCGTTTTGTTTTTAAATATACTCTTTGCTTAGGTATTACATAATTAAAAATCACAAGTCTGTGTTTTAGATGTTAAGACCTCATATCTATAAAGATATGCTAATGGGCGAGTCGTGTAAAGTTTGGGGAGTTTGAATCCGCTATAAAACATATTGGACATTTTTAAAAGTATGGTTTTCGTAGGGATTAGGATTGGATCGTTACATGACACCATAGACGATCAACCGTTCGATCGACGATCACCTTTCCGTGCTTTCTAATCAAATATTGGAATAAGGATGACTTTTGGTTGCAACAAGCAGGCTTGTTTAACGGCCAATGTAACAGCAGACCTTTTGTCATTGCGGCGGTAAGACCCGTTATGGAGGATTGGCTCGAGAGGCGTCACGGGACCCTCTCATACCGATTGACGCAGGTGATCACTGGGAAGGGAATGTTTCGGAGATCACCTGTGTCTGATCCGCAAGGAGCCAACGCCTGAGTGCCACCACTGCGATGGCCAGACCGTGGACACGGCTCTCCACACGCTGGCAGAGTGCCCGGCGTGGGTTGAGCAGAGGCGAGACCTCGTGGCGGAGATCGGAGTGGGAGTTCTCTCGCTCGATAGCCTGATTGCGGCTATCGTGCGGAGCGAGAGTGCGTGGAACTCTGCCGTCTCCTTCTGCGAGCAAGTTATGCTCGCGAAGGAGACGGCGGAGCGGGACCGGGAGAGGTTTAGAACTCTCCCGGCCCGCCAGGCCCGGGCACGGGCCAGGCAGCGCAGGCGACTCAGGCGCCGGAGGTCGCAGAACGACCTCCGTCCTCCATAAGCGCAGGCCTGGGGGTGACAGGTGAGGCCATCTGTCACCCTAGCAGAAGCAGGCCGGGGTGGCGGCGAGCGCGTTGCGAAGCGCGCTCGCTTCCAGAGAGCACAGGGAACATGGGGTTCCCACACGGGGCGGGGTCGTCTACTCGTCTGTAGATGACCCGAGGTATGTCGGGGCACCAGGGCCTTCCTTTCTAGGGTATACCTGGTTCCCCGGCTATTAGTACCCGGCGAAGGCGTGCGGTTTTAGTCGGTTCGAGTCCGACATGCCACCGACAGGTGGTATCCGAGGGGATTTCCGCACGGGAAAAAAAAAAAAAAAAAAAAAAAAGACCTTTTGGCATCGTTTTACTAATGCACATAGCAGTCACTCATTGATGTCTAGGCGCAAACATTGTCAATGTGTATTGATCGAATTGCGATTCGAGGATTTGATCGATTCTTGCATTTAGTTTTTATGCAGAAAGAGTGCGCTGTATGTGCGACTAAGCGCGTGTCACGGTGCGATATGATGGTACTAAGAGCATGGTTGCGAAGATAGTTATTAGGAAATGTATTACAGAAAGGCTTTAAAGTGAAAACTAAAGTAAGATTACAAGGAGAGTTTAGTTTGTAAACATTAGTTTGTTTACAAAATGATCAACAGGATAATTAATAAGGCATAAATACAACAAGGCGCTTTTCTCAACTGTGTAGCCGTCGGCGACAGCTCGCGGTCATCGACCAAATAAATAAATAACTTAATACCAACGAGATACTTCTGATGTGTAAGTTATCGGCGTAAAGGAAAATGATCAATTGATCACATACAAACAATTATAATTTAATTAATATACAGCCTACAGCCAGGTTTTACCTGTGATGCTAGCGATGACCTTGCTTTATTTGATGTCATGATTACCTGGTCACGCTCAACTTTATGTTAGGTTCGTAATTCAAATCCAAACTGTTGCTTGCTTGCTCCAACAACACCAACTGCAAAATGGTCGTGCAAAACATTTTACACTTAATGCATTGCATACTTTTGGGTGCCTAACTTATTGAAAACACTTCGTTTTTATTTCCAACTAGCTGAGACCCGCGGTGTTACCCGCGTTTGTTGTTATAACCTAGCTGTTATAAGCTAGTCTAGAAAAGTAGCCTAAGTTACTCATTATGTCATCAGCTATCTGCCAGTGAAAGTCCCGTTGAAATCGGTCCAGCCGTTCCAGAGATTACCTGGTACAAACAGACAGACAGACAGACAAGAATTGTAAAATATGTTATTTTGGCATATGTACCGTGTAAACATACTTATGCATTTAGTAAAAAGCGGTTATTTCAATATTACAAACAGACACTCCAATTTTATTTATTTGTATAGATTAAATCATGATTAAAAGCAAACGTATGTCATATCATTAAGTAAACTTGGAGGGGGCGCCTTTCTACATATGGCTGATGGGCGATGCTATATTGATTCATCAGATATTTTTCCTATAAGTTTGTGGTAAACCTTCAGTTAATAGTAATTTTAAAGGCATTTAGGAAAACCGTAAATTATCCTCAACGTTCCTTAAGACAAGTTGTTGGACACCATTCATACATTAATGCTGTAATTTTCCTTGACGTGCTGGTCTAAGACCTTGAACGTCCGTATCAAGTATTGGCCGGTGTCGCTAAATATGCTTTAAATGAATTAGTATAATGCTAATACATATGAAAAATAATGTCGTGATTAGTGATTTACGCCAGTTTTCGTCGTTTTTATTCTCTGATGTCTCTGATGTACCAGCTCTCGGCACCAGCTAAAATAATTATTATACTTGTAAACAATCTCAACAATCAACAACAATTTTTATGCCATCAACATGAAAATAGTTTTTTCTAGGGGATCTAGCTATGGAATGTAACGGAGTGACCGTTCTGATTGTACCGACCGATTGTCATCACTCAAATATATACGACGAATATTTTAACATGGCTACTAACTGGGTAGCTCTGAGCGCCCTCTCCTCCCCGTTTTCCTGTTCTCTCTCTTAAGTGTAAAAATCACAGCCGTAAGTAATCAGGTGTATGATCATGTCATATTTGTCCAGGGTTGGGCACGGCGCAGCGGGCGCTGGCGGCCAGCATGGACCAATTCGAGTTTGCGTGCATCGGCGCCTCGATGACAGAGGACGAGCGCGTCATCAGCCGCAGCTTGCACCACTTCGCGCACCTCATCAGGACCATCGAAGACGAGCGGGATCGCATGGTCAGTACTTTACATATTCATATCCTTGCCTCGCCGAATCTTGAACTGTATTACTCCAGCCTCCAGCTTGAGGTAATGAATAGTAACAAATACTGCGGTGCGAAATGTTATTGGTGATGGTTTCCTTAACACTGGAACACAAACGAATGGGAAGCGCTAGTAAATACGAAGAACTATTGGTTCTTCCGCGTTTGGAAACCGTTTCTTTTCGAAGGTTACCCATTGGTGGCGACCGCACCTCAGTGCGCCGTCGACAGAGGTTCACCAAGCATGAGCCACCCATACTGGATAGGAATTCGTAGAGTAATAACGGCGGTATTGTTTTAGAGAGTCATGGAATCTAAATTCTTTTCCTATGATCCTGATGTATCATGTAATTACAAATATGATATGACGTAAATTAGGATTTCTTTGAGTGTTTAAAGTCGTTTGTAGTGATTAGTAGTAGTCGATCGTGCTGCTACTGGCTCTGTGCATTTTAGTTATATGTCGTACATAAAATATTGTATCCTACCTAATAATAGGTCTTTACCTATGAAATTGCCGTTTTGTATGCAATAAGTGAAAGAACTTAATTTTTCAAACTTTTTTATTTCTGTTATTCGAAGTAATCACCCATGCAATCGACGCATCTTTGACAACGCATTGGCAGTTTATTGATGCCCTTCTTGTAAAAATCAGCTGGACGGGAGGCAACAAACTCTTCAAAGGCATTTTGTACTGCCTCTCGGGAATTGAATTTTTTACCCACTAAAAAGTTGTCTAAATTTTGGAATGTATATCTAATATGTATTTCAAATCTACACTCTGTTTTCTCTGGACCCGTTCTTTGTAAGTACTACTTTGTTTAAACTGTCGCGATTCTAAGAATTCAATCTGAGTATTGTTTATAATATACTGTTGTCGAGATTTACACGCTGATTGCCATCGTTGCCAAAATTAGCATGTAACAAGACTTGTTGGAGAAGCACACGTGAGATTATAGTTTGGAAACATAAACACAACGTGCTCACTTCCTCTACTCTAGAGAAAATTCCATTAACAATAAACAAAGGTATACGTGTAGGCAATATTTCTTTGTCGCTAACTAATAGATACATAATGTAGGTTAGGCATATGTGTGTATGTGTGTGTAAAGTCGGCGAGTGCTGGACTTGTTTATAAACAAGCGCGAGGCGACCTTCGGGGAATCACTTTCCATTTGTTGAAGCGATCACTTTTACCGGTGCACGCGGTACCGCCGCGGGGTGAATGCTAAGGAGGGCATTGACACAATTAGTGCGCGTTACGTCACCGACCATTCGCGCCTAGGACCCGGACACGGTACGCACGCGTCACGTCGCGCCACCGGAATACCAATGCCGACTGCCGATGTCCGCCGCCTCCAGCTGTCTAGTGTGATTCATGAGATCATCACCCGAGGAAGGTTGAACTGCACGCTGTAGCTGATGTGTATATTTTAAACCGAACACACGCTTACCACAAACTTCTCTTCTGTTCTGCAAAAAGAGTTGGAAACTATATAATTCAGGTTAGCTCTAAATTGACCAAAATGTGTACTTCTACCTTAACAATTTACGGGTAGTTTTGTTTTTATCAGTTTTGGCAAATGTTGGGCTTTTTTATTGCAGATCCAGGAAGTAGTTGACTTGTAGGGCTGACCTTCCGTCGGTTTATTTTTATCCTGGAAAAGGTTTTACAAGGAATGAACGAATGAATTTACAAAATAAACTTTTTATCTGCTCAAAATAAATTTTACTTAATAAACACACGAGTATGTTATGTGGTTCTGAAACATGAATTTCTAATAAAAGTAAATAGCAAAATTAATATAATTTTTAGACTTGCAACGAATAGTATATTCGGCAGTATACCGAATACCGAATATTCGGCGAGGCCCCTGACCGAATAGCCGAATATTAGGCAAAAGTATTCGGCTGGATTTTAGCGCCAAAAACTTGTACAGACGTGAATTAAATTATGTACCTGTTTTATGTACCAATGACTACTTAATAAATGATTATAAAAGAAATGAGAACCTTACCCTTCTAAATTTTGATTACCACAATAATTCAAATACATAGAATCCTCCATTTTTCCTATTCAGAAGATGATTATGTACCTGTGTTATGCACCAATGACTACTTAAATGATTATAACAGAAATGAAAATATGAATATATACGTAATCAATCGATTTTAATTTTTCATTTTACCAATTATTTCTCAATGACAAAATATGTTATTTAAGTATTCGGTATTCGGCCGAATAATATGTAGATATTCGGTATTCGGCCGAATATAATAAAAGCAGCCGAATAGGCCGAATACCGAATAGTGACCGAATATTCGTTGCAAGTCTAATAATTTTATGTATGTAAAATGTAAAACCTTACTAGTCGTCAGCATGTTAAGTATCAGTGTGGGTACTGTTTTGCCTCGTAAATGAATTCATTACAATTAATTATATTCATTCATTAAAATGTACGTTACGTTACTGTTTATGTGTACATGGTTAATAACAATAACGTGGACGTGGTGCCAACACCTTGGACCATGTAAATATTGTTCATCAAGTAAATATATGGTTAGTTTACTGACAACAATTTAGTGTTGAAGGGAAAGTTAGATTTATCAATGGAATTTAGATTTGAATGTTGCCTTCAATTAATATCTCTCTCAAAGAGACTAGAAATGTAGGCACAGTAAGGCAAGTCTGCCAATTGACACACGTGTAGATAAAACACGACTAGTTCACTTGAGATAGTATTTCATTAGTGTCATGTCGGTGTTTATTACGGGGACGCGCTAACAGATAGAGCACTCATATTCCAAGTGTAGAAATAAGCTATCAGACATAACACCCTGGTGGCGCTATATCGCAATAGTAATAAAGGCATTGTGTCAGAACAACACGTACCACCAACATTCTCCTGAACAAAAGACAAAATCTTTTATAGCGTTTAATAGGATGTTCCCAAATATTGTTCAACTAAATAAAGAGATGTTAAATCTTGTAAAAAAAGCGCATTGCCAGGTAGTTCAATCCCATCATATTGTCTCCAATGTTCTGTGAGGTCCCTGCAGTAGCAGTTCGAACGTTGAAGGTGTGGAAGTGACGCAGGGCGAAAGTAAAACCGGCCACTGGATCTGTCCGCTCGTGTCGGTTTATGATTATACAACCAGTACGTGTTGATATTACTCTCTCTCTGCTTGCGTATCGATCTTTCTGTCCCCGATGTTTAGCACACTTCTATAGGTACAGTTAAAAAGTTGCGTGGAGAAAGTCCCAGAATGAAATCAAGGAGCTTACCGGCGTTGGTCCCTTGCCAAATGCCTGCCAATTTGAAAAGTTCAGTTTTTGCAGACTAGAGCAAAAGATACATCAAATTAATGCAGTTTTGCAAAGCTTTTCAAGGTTATGCCTCGACGCATGTAAAGTTTAGCATGTTTAATAGGCAGCGCTCTCCGCCTGGCTTAGCAGGGTTGGACGACGAGAAATCTGAACCGGAATCGATGCTCGTAAATGCAATGAAAACATTTCTGTCCATTAATGGCTGGAGTGGGCAACATAACATTGCAACTAAAAGTGTACGACAACGGTATTGCCCAAGCTGCAGTGTACTTGCTGCGTGTTGCTGAAATAACAGCGTCGAATAGGGCATTTAACCTCTTATCAAGAAACGGTAGACACCATGTGACTCGTCGTGACGTCATGTCAGTAGTAAAGTTAGTTGTAATTGTTCTAAATTCAAAATGAGTAACTGTCGCACTTCGATGTTTCAATATTCCGTAATTTGGCAGAATATACATATATTGGGATTTATGGTGCAAAATGCCTTCATGAAAGAATTTATTCTAATAGTCTGCCCGAAATCTTTAAAAAGTTGCTTATATTTAAGTAAACGAGTGCTAAAATAGTTAAATATTCACAACAAATTTGTTGCTAAGTTTTTTACTAACTTCATGAATAATAATAATATAAACTAGGCAGAGCCTGTACTATGGTAAGCAGACCGCTGATAAACATACTTATATATTTCTAAACACATACATTTTATAGATATAGTACATCCAAACACAGAACATATGACCGTGCTCATTACACAATATTTTCCCTGGGTGGAAATCGAGCCCACGACCTCTGGCGTAGCAGTCAGGGTCACTAACCACTAGACCAGACCAACAGGGGAGGGGTCTAGTCAAGTCAGTAATCAGATTGCAGTTTGCGTTTCGCAACAAAGTTTTAGTATGTATACAAAAAACGAAAAGTTAGAAATTCATTTAAACAAAAACTACATTTATAACCTGAAACTAACACTTTCCGATTGCCTGAACTATTTTAAGGTTCTGCTTTTTATTAGTATACTCGTAGTGTAAAATACCCTACTTTCTTTCAAATTTTAAATAAAGTTCTTAATGTCATAACATTAAGAACTTTTAATCAATTTTGACGACCCCCCTTGACGATCTCTTCCCTAAATGTATACGGTTGAAAGAAGGGTGCCGTCCAATACATGTGTGCGTGTATGTACGGACGGGTCGCCGAGACACGTACGAGCCGGCACTTAGTGATTCCGCACAATACACTCGCACTCGAAGCCTCACAAAGGTTATCACAACAGAGGACGAGTCTGTGTACCACAATACAACACTACGCTTTGTTATGTAAACTGGTAAAAAAATTATTTAGTACGTACCGAGCCCGTCGCACCTAACAACGTTTTTGCACATTTCGATCTGACCCGACTGTGCAATAACCATCAGTTATCATCAGACCAGTAACCACTGAAGAGTATCCAACTGCTGACTCCAACGGCACAACCAACATGCACTAACAAAGTTTTATTTCAAGTTAGGTTAAATTGATTTTTAAGATTTGTTTACATAATAAGGTATCACTGAAGCTAACTGTTAGAAGTTCAGTCGCAACAAATTGAATGCATTATACACAACGGGGTGTATTAGGAAGACAAGTTTGTGTGGTCAAAAACAGTAAAACAGACATTTAATCTTGTTTGTTGTACATGTATTCTGGAACAAATGCAAATAGCTGTATTTTCTGAGTCATCAAACAAATTGCAACATCTAGAGTTTGATAAAACTGGTGTATTATTGTGAAACTGAGTGTAGTCTCGCGAACCGCAATGTGTCGCTGCAAGGGAAGTCATTTAATACTTGGTATTTGTGCCGCCGCCAGTGGTCGAGGCGACCTTCGTGTGAAATAGATTTTTGCGAGGAACGTTGTTATGGACAAGTGTTACGTAAAAATGATTTTAGTTCCTTTAAAATTTCAATTGAGAGAATATTAGATTTTAATTAGTAAGTAACTTCTTTGAATAAAAAAAAATACGATTTACGAAACTTGGAATAAGTCCTTTCGGTCATTTATCCAATTGGTTTATTTGCGTTTTTTATTAAAGGGTATTGATGAAATCACCTAACTTCAAACACAAGTAGTGTTTAGTTTAGTATCTTTAGTACGTTTTCATAGCTTTTCTTATTTATATCTCCGGTTCTGATGAAGGCACACGGTTTACAAAACGATTTCATTATTTTCGGCATTTGTCCATTTAAATTGTTTTACTTGATGATAGGCTAGGTCTTGCTGCGCACAAACGCATACAAACGAAATGATCGTGAGGAAACATAAATATTAGCAATACATGCCCGTGTTATTGTATCGCCAGATATGGAGTAGAACAATAATAGTGGCGTGGTGAGGACACTCGCCTCATTCGACGGGGCGACGAATGTTGCGTGTATGTTGTGCAATGGGAGATGTCCACGTACGCAGTGAGTCAGCGCGCACGTGCTCGCCGCCCGCCGCCGCCTAATTGACACGTACTGCCCATCCCACACGTAGACACCGTGTCCTCCTCGTACACATTCATATCAAACAATGAGCCAACGTAACTTTAAGTTTACCACTGTTTCAGGTCAAAGGTAGATTAAAACTAGGACAAATAAAACGCTATAAGGATGACATTCCGACCTTTAACTCTAATGTGTCATTAAATGTTAACCGACTTGGTGACGTGAATGTACCCAACTGCGATTCTGCGTTATTGTTAGTGAGTTGGTCTTACCTTACTTCTTTTTTGGACTATGGGTTATTGCAATGGTTCCCTTAAACCGCCTTTAATGTCAGATGGCAATTTATTTAACTTTTCTCAAGAGCAATGGTCCAACCAGTCCCGTCTCTAGCCTATTGGAGGCCCAGGGTCCATTAGGATGATGTGGCCCTGTTCAACTATTTTCTTTTCTGAGCTTTACTGTGCACTATTTTGTTAGAATAGAGAAAGAAAATATGGTAGTCGGTATTATCGCTGAATTTTTCGAAATAATTTTTCGGTAATAAATATCTATTATCGAGTACTAACTGTACTTTTTAAACGTTGTGCATGATGTATGTTATTAACAGTAAGATGTGTTCATTTTGCTTGCAGGTGGGTCGTGCGCAGGAACAGATCATCCAGCCGTTAGAGAGGTTCCGCAAGGAGCACATCGGAGCAGTGAAGGTACTAAACGATGATATATACACTGATGATTATAGAGACCCTGTTGCTTGTACTTTAAATGGCCAAACGGACGGTGTGCGAGGTACGCTTGGCGCAAGAAATATTTGTCCCCTTGTTTTAGTACCCAGATAGTCTACAAATAAATAAAATTGGAGTGTCTGTTTGTAATATTAAAATAACCGCTTTTTACTAAATGCATATGTATGTTTACACGGTACATATGCCAAAATAACATTTTTTACAATTTTTGTCTGTCTGTCTGTCTATCTGTCTGTCTGTCTGTTTGTTCCGGGTAATGTATAGCTGCGTAACAATACTTACGTTCAATTAAGAACCAGCATACAACCGACGACAATCTGAATGTCAGAATCTGTAATGTTCTATATGAGTGTCGTTGTTTATTATTGCAGGAGGGCAAGAAAAAGTTCGACAAAAAGACAGCCAAGTTCTGCCAAAGCCAGGAACGTACACTTTCACTCTCGACCAAGAAGCCCGAAAATGTGTTCCAAGAGGTATATTTTATTTAAGAGTGTTGATATGCTATGAGAGACTCAGCGAGCAGTGCGCGCTCACTAAGTGATACCATTATTTACAGGCAGACGCGGCGATGGACATGGCAGAGCGCGACTTCTGCCAAGCGTCCTTGGAGTACGTGTTCCAGCTGCAGGCGGTGCAGGAACGCAAGAAGTTTGAGTTGGTGGAGACGCTGCTAGGTTTCGTATTCGGGTGGTGGACCTTCCATCACACCGCCCACGACGTGCACGCCGACGCCGAGCCCCGCGTGCGTGATCTGCAGCTCAGGATACAGCGGGTAAGTAACAACTTAATGGTGTTCCATCACCGACGGCGACCTTCTGCCGGACTAGTGCTATCACTTTATATTACCTTGCTTGTTTTGACACGAGCAGGACAAGAAGAAACTAGATCTTGGAGTATTACTACTTTTATTAGAGCATTATTACTGAAAGTAATTGTACTGGCTTTACTGTGATAGTGCTTAGTGGCACGGTCGCTATCTGTGCGACAACCTGGGACATACTTCCTTCGTGTTTAAACTTCCACGACTAAAAATAAATCATAAACATAGTGTGAGAGTAGGTGGTGGTGGCCGTTTCGCCTCCAATACAGCTGTGTGTTTACGTGACGCAGGTCCCGGAGCTGACCCGACGTGTGCAGTTACTAAGCGACTCGCCCCACCCTTGTAGGTGACAAATCCGTTCCCAGATTTAAGCTATTCAACGGCGTCACTAATAAACTATATGCTTTTGATTGGTTTGCCTCGGTCCATCCGGCGATATAATATACCTTGTAATTGTCATCCAGTCGTCGAGCGGGTCAAGATGCATGTCTCACCTCTCACCTCTCACCTGACCCTCAAAATGTAGATCTTTACGAATCGACTTCTAATACCAGTTCGCTGTACATTGCTTGTTAGATCTCTTGAGAGAGTTGCATGGTACGTTGATTGATACATTATTGTAGGTATATTCTTTAACATTATCACGCCATAAGGTCGCGCTTTACTCATGTTAGCTCGGGACCTCGTAATCATAGGAGGATTGCAGGAGGACCGCTGTTGAGCGGCACAACATATAACTTGTACATTTTTTATTTTGCCCATGTAAATACCGTAGAGTGAACATTTCCTTGCAAGCAATGTAATGGTCTTCGAAGTTGATTCCCGAAAGGTTAAACAATAAGGGCCCTGAACTGCGATCTCCCATGACCATGTACAGCAAGCCTGTCAACGCGTTACGCCTGACCTTGTACGAGACAAAACAATGTACGCGGACATTATTCATGCTAATGTAATGGCCAAATACTTGTATACAGTTACAATAACGGGTATATCGACAACGTCAACTACAACTCCAGGTGTATATAAAATTAACTACATCTGTAGTAGTTGCCATGTAAGGAATAACAAACGGCCTGTTGCTTAAATGGTTAAGGACCATATCATCAACAGCTTTTAATAGTCCACTGCTGGACATAAACCTCTCCTGAGAAAGGACGTTTTGGCCTACTATGCCACGCTGGCCAGACGGGTTGGTAAAGGGTTTGTGTCAAGTTTTCCTTCTCTCTGCAGTGTTGTTGTCCTGCTTAGTTTTTTCTTTCTTCTTAATCCGTCACCACACGGACCATATCGCTGTTGGCAATAACTGACAGATTAACAAATCGGTTACAGAATGTCTACTGTCTACATTTGCTTCATGCACTACAGTTAAGTAAATAAATAAATAAAATAAAAATAATACCTTGTCAGATAGTTGTACACACACGTACTTTTGAGTTCATTTTCGGTAATGTGATTGTATACCATTAAATGAGAAAGATTACAAATTCTTATCAGATCTTTGTTTTCTTTTGTCATTTTATATGCAATTCCAAAAGGAGAATTTTCCACAAGGTTCTGCAATGTTTTTGAAGTGTGTCAATCAGCTCGGTGGACTATGGCCTTACCACTCTCGTGCTGGGAGAATACATATCTATACATGTCTATACCTAGTATTGTAGATGACATGTGTTTATTAAATAATAAAAAAAAACAACATTTTTAAATTAACATCATGGTCATGAGACATCTATAGGGCTTGTGTGTGTGTGTGTGTGTGACTGCGATCTCAAAAGCACTTTAGGGCGCGCGCGTGTGTGCGCGCGTGTGTGTGTGTGTGTGTGTGTATAGGCGTGTGTTTACGCTTGTTTGTGTTTGTGTGTGCACTAACAGTAAGTCCGCTTGTGTGTGGGTTGCAGACGCAGAGCAACTTTGAAGAGATGAGCAAGCAGACTGAGTCACTCATGAAGAAGATGATGGAGGTCCGACAGATGGTACGTATTTGCCACGTCCATTTACAGTATGCTGACTCACAACCTAGACTGCATGGGGCCCAGCGCGTTCACCGCCATTAATGTACCGTAGCACTTCCGTAACTGCCACGGCTAGCATCGGAATCCTTAGTGTAGAATATCGAAAGGAATGAAATTTTCTCCTTACCATTTTCCGTACTATTGTCTCCCCCTGGACCGCATTCAGTAGAGAGCGACTCGAATCGTCCATTTTCGGTATATTTGCGATAGGGTTGGGCTCCTGGCGTTGCGTAGAGATGCACCTACACGCTGCATTGTCTATTACTTGTATTATAGAGAGTGCTCTGAGACGGTATTTATACTTATACCGACTTTTCAACGATGTACGCTTTTCAAAAACTGGCCAATACAGGCTCCCTAGCAAAGTTCTTTATCATTTATAAAAATATGTATAATGTTTGTATTGGTGCCAAATCTGTCGTTCATGACACCAAACAATGTCTCCAAACTTCTCTATTTTAGGTATAATTCGAATAAAATCCAATTTTGTGGTAATATATTAACTTTCCTGAAAGTTTTTATTTGGCTTTTGTTCTGCTTGTAATTTTTTACGCCAACAAACGAGATTTTGTATGTCTGTTTGCATAACCGGCTCTTTTGTACGTTACATGCACCTTACATGCTGCTTGTACAGTTGCCAGTATTACTGAGAAGCACCGGTTTATTTAAACCCAACTTGCTGAGACCCGCGGTGTTACCCGCGTTTGTTGTTATAACCGCGGGCAAAGCCGCGGGGCGAAGCTAGTCTAAAAAAAGTAGCCTAAGTTACTCCTTATGTCATCAGCTATCTGCCAGCGAAAGTCCCGTCGAAATCGGTCCAGCCGTTCCAGAGATTACCCGGAACAAACAGACAGACAGACAGACAGACAAAAATTGTAAAAAATGTTATTTTGGCATATGTACCGTGTAAACATACATATGCATTTAGTAAAAAGCAGTTATTTTAATATTACAAACAGACACTCCAATTTTATTTATTTGTATAGATGTGTAACGTTCAATGTTTCCTCGCTTTGCAGAACAAAGAGGAGGAGGGTGGTGAGGAGGTGCGCGGGGGGGTGTCGCGAGCCGGCTACCTGTTCCTCATGGAGAAGAGTGAGTTGTGCCACGAGTGAGCACTTGGCATTACACAGTTTTAAATACGCCTCTGCAGTCTTTGACTATTCCATACAAAGTGTACCGTGTAGTACAACGCTGGTAGTGTATTATTTATAGTGCAAGTGACAGCACGAGCTTTAACAGTACTTATAGATATCAGTAACTGCTGGAGAATTAAGTCCAGCTCAGCTAATGTTGCCTCAGCTTAGTTGTCCACATAAACAATATATTATTTCAACTGTTCTATTAAACTATTACGAGATTCGAAGTGTGATTTCGTAAAGGAAGTAGGTGAGTGTAGGCGCGTTGTGTGTGATGTGGAGTGACGTGTGTTGTGTTGTTCGCAGAGGCGTTCGGCACGACGACGTGGAGCAAGCACTACTGCACCTACGAGAAGAGTTCGCGCTCGCTCGCCATGACGCCCTACAACCAGATCAATGTCAAGACGGTGAGTCTCCTCCCTCCACTCCTTACATATATACATCTATTTGTGTCACGTTCTAACTCGTTTCCAAGAGCTGTATCTCACACACAGATTTGTGCTCAAATGGAAGTTACCTGTCTGCGTTGCCCTGTTCAATAGTACACAAATAGCTGTTATTGTTAAGGGTATCACTAGAGCTTTGAGGGTAGCTAGAGACCTGGCTCCGGGGCTGAGTTTTATATGCACCTGACTCTTTCAACCTTGTATCGCTTGTTCGCTATCTTTATTGAATTCAAGTTGTTACTCGTCAGTAGTGATGTGCCGGATCGTTAACAAAGTATATCCGCGGATACGGAACCGAATACGGATATTTGGTGTCAAGATATACGGATACGGATCTTAAGTTTCTTACTCAATCGGAGCCCGTGACCTTGATAGTTGTCGCCACTTGACGCTTTGCCGTTGCTATTTAAATATTTCATTATTTTAATAAGCTAATACAAAGATGTTCGATTGATCTCATTATAAAGATAGCTCTTTCAGTACCTACGACCTGCCTAGTTGATTTAGTGTAGTACGATAAATGATTGCAATACAAAGGTGCCAAATATTTGTTTTAAGAAATAAAAAGTAATCTGAACAGAATTCAATAGTTTTTCATAGCTACCTAATAACCATTATTCAGGGTTATTTTAAATTTACTGAACACCTCTGAAGTGCATATTAGTAACATTATAAACAAAAACTTTTCTTTTGGACTAACACTGAAAACGAAAGAAAAAAAATTGTTTCTCCATACAAACTAACAACATTTGATTGGTCATTTGAATGGAGGACCAATTTTTTTTTACTTTGACGTTGGCCAGAAAAAGTTGCTGTTTATAGTGTTACAAACACATACCTAAGAGTTTTACAGTGAATACAAAATCACCTATATAGAATTTCATCTATGTAATATGTATTAAAAGATCCGCCAAGAAAGTCACGGATACGGATACGGTTACGGATCTCTCTTCTCCCTTGGATATCCGCGGATACGAATACGGATACGGATATCCGGCACATCACTACTCGTCAGCACCACCTTTCACTACCCACCATCTTTTTCCCCGAACCATGAACATGTCAATATTTTCTGTTGCGGTGAAAAAATATACAGTAAGTCTGTGCCTATCGAATAATCATCAGTGGACGTGGCCAATATATAGACTGCCTATCTATGGCTTTACTCACTTTGCTTTGATGTAACTATTTTAAGGATTCTCAAGCTCTAAATGAAATAATAAACCTACATATTTAAACTAACACGTCAGAACGTGTTTGAAGCTGCAAATAAGTCAAGCTTCTAAGTCAAAACCGCGAAGTGATGTGACGTAATTGGGAGCACATTATTTACTTAACATTAACACAACGGTGACATGACACTAAGATGACAAATATAAGAGAGAAAACAAATTGTGTAAATACTATTGAACAACTGACTGTGTCGATATGCGCTTTCACATCAACAGTCAGTCCACTGCTGGACATAGGCCTCTCCTCTGAAATGTGGTTTTGACTATACCACGCTGGCCAGACGGGTTGGTATAGGGTTTGTTTCAAGTCTTGCGTAGTTTTCTCTCTTAGTCAGTCAGTTAGTGACATTACGTACGCTTTGGTCGTCTCCAATGATTTGTGGCCTGGCAGTGTTTCTTTTTAACTTAAGATCACACTTCATTGAGCAGTGTTTGGTAGTGGACACGCTAGCGGACGCTAATGCCCCTTTAAGGTAATGTCTACCGTTCGTCCACTGCGGAACACATTTACAAATATCTACACTCGTAAATATTCCCCCAACAGGGGATATTCCCCCAACACATTTATTTTTACTTTTGTAGTAAATACGGCAATTTTATATTATCAAACGAGCCCATTGTTCTAGTGGTTATTGATCCTGATCACTTAGCCAAAGGGCGTGGGTTCGATCCCCTGTGATTAGCGCTGCCGTTCGTTCATGTTGGTAGTAAATTATTTGAGTATAATCATGTATATATTGAGTGTACGTTTGCACTCGTGGACACTGTTCTGCTGCTGTCGACACACAACAGCTTCTTAAATTGTGAGTTAAAACATTGCGATATCATCAGATGCTGGGCCCCGTCAATTTACGAGACATTCGACCAGTTTTTTCGTCGACCACCGCGGACGTAAGTATCGCTCAGTGCTTCCGCCGCCCGCGCCCCTCTCTGACCCCTCCGGGGGGTGGGGGGTTGGGGAGAGGGGGGCGACGTGCGCTGAGACAGTTCAGTTAGTAATGCATCAATGACACGGTCGCCGTGTGTGCGGTCATCATCGACGTATACTATCGAATCGGGGTGCCTACTGTTTTTATTTTTTTTATAAAAAAGACTAATCGAACTTATTGCATAGGAATAATAAAGTGTTCGGAAGTAGGACATGTGCCTACTATAGCCTTAAATATAGCATACCTACTACTGCCCTAATATATGTACCTTAAGGTGTAATAATAACTAGTATTTGCTAACAACATTTTTTGTATATGAAAGATTCGAAATTAGAATTCAGAAATGGATTATCCGTAATTTAAAAATTCTCTTTTTTGTAGTTCAATACAGAATCTATTTCGAATAATAATTCATTAATGTACAATGAAATGTTAGAAAATGAAGTATTTGTGTATACCTACTTACGTTATTACAAACGGTTTTGTTTTGCGTAAAGTTGAAAGTATTATAAAGTACAGCTGGCAACCCCAGCACCGACACGTGCGTTTAGCCATACGCACATATATAGCTGGTCTCAGCGCACGGCGCCGCCGCCTTGTTGTGTGTAGATGTGCTCTAGATACGCTTTTACGACCTCTACAGTTTATTTGTGTGATTGATACTAATATGACCGCCGGCTAAACATACCTGAAAAAAACTGGTGTTAATAAGTAATATAATAAACGTCACCATAAATATAAGATAAAATAATAAAACGGCGTGAGGTGTCTATGAACCCCCGATCGGAATGAAGCTCCGCAAGAGGTGTCGGAAAAAAGTATTGTTACACATTTTTCGGTGTTTCATTCAGTGTGAGTCATTGTCCGCTCGGAGCGTGCAACGCGCGTCATGGAAGTTCGTTCCAATAATTAAATCCACTCAAATGCCAGTAACGCTCGTTAAAATGACTAAACTAACAAACATGGGGGAAGAGGCAATGAACAATATTTTTTCCCTTCAACCAAAATAATAAAATTATAGTCGATCTAATCTAAGAAGTACCGTTTGTCGCTTCATCGTTTTCACTACGAAACAATTTTGTACTAGCGCATGTCACATAATTTCAATAACAATTTCCGTAAAACCGCGGAATTATGAAGCAATTTTTATTTTATCACAAGATGTATATTCTTAATTACTAAATTAAACTAAATGTTTATAGTAAAGCTAAATAACCAATATATACAGTGGATAGCTTTTTTAAGACTTCGTTTCAAAGTCACGTAGTTAAGTCGTTTATCGTAGTGTTGCGACTTTTCAAATTCACTTGTATGCGAATAATCGTAATGTTATCGTAATATGTTAGAATAATCGAATTTATTAATAACAAGCTGTTTTTAATCCAGGCTATGTAGTATTTAATAATACTCAAATTTCAGCAGATATCCAACTATCAATATAAATGCATATACAAAATTAAAAGTGTAAATTAATGTAATTTTAAATCAATATTTGTTGGCAAAATTTCTCGTGTTCAAGTATCCACAAAAAACACAAATATTTTTTTATCTGGCTAGGTCAGGTTAGCAAAGAACCATAAAGCCCGAAAAATTCTCTCTCTCTTCTAAAATTGTGACATTACCTACATACATTTGTATATTAACAATTACCTACTAGTAAAACCTTAGATATAATCATATACGGGCTTTTACGCTAACAAACATATTTATGTAAAACTTTAATCGATTATAGTAAATACAAAGAAATGATATCGAAATCTCTTAAGAATCGGATATTGTAGTATTAGATTTCTTTGACAACCTCCCTATTCTTGAATCTGTCAGAATTGTCAAACGGTACCTCTTAGATTAGATGGTCTATAGTGTTCTCATATTCACTGACGAAAGGTGGCGCTACAATCAGTTCGAGCTATCGTTTCATTCGTTATCATCCTTATCACAAAATTGCAAGAACATCACCGGTACAGGACAATCCAGCCTCCCTCGTCGCCTTTGATTTAATACACGATGCTTGGTATCTGCTCAAAGTATTATCGGGCAAATTGCGGTGTGCGGTATACTGCGTGAGCTGAGATGTGCCACGTGTTGTGTGGGGGCGCGTATGGGAATGGTTCGTCCTCAAATATATAAACGCTGCAATAAAATAAGGGTTAATGCTTTTAATACTTTATTTGTAATTGTTTATGTTGACGTCGTGAAATACTAAAGTTCGGTAGCTTATTTGGTCAGTAATAAAATATTTCACAAAAGTATACAATTACTTCAGAGAGTTATAGGAAAATTTGTAAAATGTTTTATGATATATGGGGCAAACGATCAGACCTAATGGAAAGTGACTACCGTCGCTCATCAACTACATTTTTCGTGTGTGAGGTCACATTACGTAATTCAGCGTTCATGAGACCTGACTCGGTTTGACCTCGAGATCGTTCGACGTTCTCTAACGAATAAATGATCATCTGAAGGGGTTCAGGTTCTTCATTGAGCGTTCGTTGAAAATGGGAGTGTGTGTGTGAGCGTGCGCTGAAGTGGCGCGTGTTGCAGGCGGGCGGGTGCGAGACGGTGTGCGTGTGCGGCGCGCGCTCGTGCAGCGAGCCGGTGGAGCGGCGCTTCTGCTGGGAGGCCGTGCCCGCCGAGCGCGAGCGCGCGGCCCTCACGCTGCAGGCGCTGAGCGAGCGCGACCGCGCGGCGTGGCTGCGCGCCATGGACTGCCCGCCCGACGCCGCGGCCCCGCCGGCCGCCGCGCCCGCGCCGCTGCGGCCCGACGAGCCGGCGGCGGCGCTGGACGAGGCGGGCTTCGCCTTCGTGCGCGCGCTCATCGGCGCCATCGAGTCCCGCGGCCTGGAGGAGCAGGGGCTGTACCGCGTGGCGGGCGTGGCGTCCAAGGTGGCACGCCTCGTGGCCTGCGCGGGCGTGGGGCGCCGCCTGCCCGCGCTGCACGAGCCGCTGGAGTGGGAGACCAAGACGCTGACGTCAGCGCTCAAGAGCTACCTGCGCGCGCTGCCCGAGCCGCTGCTGACGCGCGCGCTGCACGCGCAGTTCCTCGCCGTGGCCAAGAGCGAGCGGCGCGCCGAGCGGGCGGCGGGCATGGCGGCGCTCGTGCGGGCCCTGCCGCCGCCCAATAGAGAGATGCTGCACCTCGTCATGCAGCATCTGCGCAAGTCAGTATTCTCTGAAGCCTAAACTATCACTTGAAATAATTAAAAAAACCCTGATACACTATAACCTCCTCCATATTGACCTTACTTTACTTGACGTTTTAGGCCCCCCCTTATTGCTACGCCATACGTCATTTGTGCGATTCCAGGACAAATAATTGTGTAAAGAGCAGGATTATTGTTTCTATGTTTAAAATTAATAGGCTATTTGACTAATTTAAAAAATGTTGTAGGTTATTTTATACATGTAATTGTACATTAATATTTCCGGGGAATCAGACCTATTTATATGTGAAAATCGCTATTAAAGTTAAAATTTGTAAATCCGCGGCAAAATGACGTCACATGCCAGGTCACCTACATAGGGCAAGAGCCCTAAAAATAAAAAATAGTGTGTATAAATAAAATAAATATCATAGATATATAAAAAGAAATATATGAAATGTTTATCAGCAGTCTGGATGCTGTCGTACAAGATCTGATTAGAACGATATTTTTAATGTGTTTTATACATATCATGGTCAAATATTTCTATAAATGATAAAGTAGCCACCTTCGCTTCGCTTAAAATCTGTGTCCCTGATCCTTCGAGTCTATTTTGAACTTCAACAATTTCCAAACCAAAGCACTCGGTAAGAGTTGTCAGAGTTGTCCCGGTACAAAGCGTGTGGTGTTGTGCAGCGTGGCGGCGCGCTGCGACAAGAACCTGATGTCCACGTCCAACCTGGCGGTGTGCTTCGGGCCCACGCTGCTGCGGCCCGAGCGCGAGACCGTCGCCTCCATCCTCGAGCTCAAGTTCTACAACGTGCTGGTGGAGACGCTGCTGGAGCACTACGCGGAGATCTTCGAGCCGGCCGCGCCCCCGCCGCACCCCCACAACGGCACGCTCAGGTATGTATCATCATTACTATATCCGACACCAAATAAAGGTGAAGCAAATCTATCTCAAACTCAAACTTTCTTTATTTCATAAAATTTCCAAAATTGTTTGAAATCTGAGTCGACTCTAAAGTCATAGATCAACACACAAAAGCAACAATCTCTGTTTTGTCAAATAGTAAGCAAAATTTAACAAAAATCAAACCCATACAAAATCTATGATATGCCTGTGCCGATCTACAACCGCCCGTTTCCAAGGGGTTGAGCTCAAACTAAAGAAAAGCATCCCCTTACAAAGCGATGGATGCACTTGTGTACTGAAGACTACAATTGTGTCGTTTAACGTTTTACCGACAACCATTGTTACATGTCGTGGAGTATTGACGTGTTGTTCACAATTAAATAGTAAATAGATTCGAATTCATCGCTTCTAGGCAGTTATATTAATTAGAGTATAAAGGCTCGCGCATACTACTAAGCGACTGGTCACAGCGCACCATTGTTTAATTGCGTCAAAGGAACTTAGCAATGCGGTGCGGACCACGCGGCGGGGCTCGCTGCAGGGCTCAGTGCGGCCCGCGTAGTGTGCGGTAGTTCATATAAAATGTACAACACTGATGAAGGCAGGTCTTTGTTATGCAATGCGGTGAGATGCAACACGCCCTAATGTGCTTAGGGTATAATATACTGCAACAAATATATTTTTTGTAGTTATTTTAATTATTAAAACACTTCTCTTATATTAAATTTTTTTTACGTTCGTCTTAAAGTTTCTTAGTAATTAAGTTTACAAAACGTAAAACGCCAACGACTGTAAACTGAAATAATCGAACGGAACGAGGCTCGTCTAATCCTGACGTCTTACAGACTCGACGTTATTGCTCCACGAGCTGGTGGCTTAAGTGGGCTCTAGTCACTAGAAGGTCTCCTTATTGAACAACTCGATTACAGTAAAATCAAGAAAAGAGCGCACTCCTTTCTAAAAGGCCGGCAACGCGTTTGTGACTTCTGAGTTGCAGACGTTCATGGGCGGCGATGGTCACTTTCCATCAGGTGACCCGTCTGCTCGTCTGGCCCCTATAACATAAAAAAAAACAGTAAATATTGGTACTTTTTTTTTTTTATTCTTGTGTTTGCATTATACCATATAAACGAAATCCTCGGGAAGTGATGTCAATAATGGACTTATTAAGTATAGGTACTTTAGATTTTATTGTTATCTTGCTTTATTTAGTGACTTGCTAATTTTGTGCGCTTGAAATACATCCCAAAAAAGAAAGAAACACTAAACAATTTCCTGCATTTCAAAATCAAACACTGACAATTCTATTTTAATTTAGTAGTGCGTGCGTGTGTTCTTGTGTGTGTGTGTGTGTGTGTGTGTGTGTGTGTGTGTGTGTGTGTGTGTGTGTGTGTGTGCGTGTACTTGCGCGCACGTGTGTGTGTGTGTGTGCGTGCGTGCGCGCGCTCGCGGGCCATATTGCAATTATTGATATATTATTGATAGTGTTGTATAGATGTCCATCTGACCTGTTAGACCTGGATAATTTCGGCACAGAGCTGTCGGACAGTGAGAACAGATATCTCTTCAAATAGCCGAGTTGTTGAATAGTGATAGGGTTTGTAAAGCATGACCTTTAGGACAGCTCTTTGCGCTCTCTCAGCGCGCAGTAAATAGGTTTTAAATGTACTACCCCAAGCAGATATGCAATAACTAAGAAGTGACCGCGCTAAAGCAAAATAGATCAATCAATCAAATATAACTAAATAGTACAGTGGTGAATTGAAATTATTGCTATTGCAAGCTTGGCTATTCCACGTGTGTGTGTGTATGATTGTTCGTTTGCCCCCTATTCCATAAAAAAATGTGAGAGCCTAGGAGTAGGATTTGAATTGTAAATGTTTATGTAAAACAAAGAAAGACAAAAATGATAAAAGTAGGATGAAAACTGCCATTAGAGTGTTTGACCTGTCGTGGAACCTAAAATCTATTCAGTAACATTAATGTTTGTTGGTAATGGATAGCTTGATTTGCGCCATTGATTAAAACCAAACAAGGATGTTACATATCGGGCCATTATCCTCCTCGAAGGCGGGCCAAAGGTTATTGTGACTTGTTCACTTCTAAATAGTTCAGTGAATAAATTTTTCTAATGTAATTTTGGATGAAATGACCACCTATACCAGAAGAGCATATCAGGCACCCTGCAAAGCTCCGGCCATTAGACTTATGGAAATGGTTTTTCAATCCTCAGATATACTGTCAGACAACTAACTTGGGAATAAATTTATCTTGCTGTTTATCAATCAAATAAACTTTTTCTGTTTTTCAATCGGGTGTAAACCGACAGATAGTTACTCGATGATCTTTCATAGCGAAGTTCACTGTAAACATGCGCAAGCGAGATGCAATTATACAGTTAGTAACACGTTAGATAAGAATCACAAGCTATTGTACAACATTTGTGTCATTCTTTTCTTTTCATTGCTTGTCTGTCAGATAATAAGACAACCTTATTGACGGTGAACGATGGTGTTGTTTTTTGTGTAACGGACTGCTACTGGAAAGGTCGCGGGTTCGATTCCCGCTCCATTCAAACATTGGTGTACATTTACATTAAATTTTAAATATTGTCTGGCTGTCTCTATGTATAATATGTATGTATTTACAAAAAAAAAGTAGGTATATGTATTTATATCAGTTGCCTAGTACCTATAATACAAGCTCTGATCTCTTAGTTAGTCACTAGATGGCGTTGTGTGAATGTTGTATAGAATATTATTATTATTCTTGTTTCTTTTGTGTAAAATAGAACATATCAAGAAACGAGCATAAAATTTTGAGAAATTGCATTTGCATAACTTGTAATGAAATTGTTTATCACACCAAGTATTGTCATATCTTATATATAAAATTCTTGTGTCACAATGTTAGTTACATTTTATATACTCCTCCGAAACGGCTGGACCGATTTTAATGAAATTTTGTGTGCACATCGGGTAGGTTTGAGAATCGGCCAACATCTATTTTTACACCCCTAAATGACAAGGGTGACCCACCCCTAATTTTTTTTTTCAATATTTCCTAGAAATAATGTATATGGCAATACAACGTTTGCCGGGTCAGCTAGTCTTTCTCTAAAAACCCTTTGTCTTCTCTCAGGACACAGCAACATTTAAATAGTTAATAAGGACAAGTATATCAACTATACTACAACAAATATTAGATAATGTAAACAAATACACAAAAGTAAAAAACACTATTCTACAGATAATGACACTAACGGAGTTGTGAAAAGATAGATAAAGTTATTCCTCAGATTTAAGCTTTATTCTTCAAATAACAGCTATCTGACCATTAAAAATCTAAAATTACGCTAACTGTGGAATAAATGCTATCTAATTGTTTATCTGGGGATTGAAAAACCGGCCCTAAGAATATTAAAATAAGGTTTCAAAACAATCTCACGAACGTCTCCATAAGTGAAAAGGTTCACCTTCACTATCTATAACTAAACCGCTCATTGCGTACAGAATAAATGCTTGGATTCTATGACCGCCAAGCTTGATTTAGTAAATGGTAGTTAGAGGTTTAGCAAAATTAAACCGTACTTTTAGTAAACGCAGCTGACAACATCCCCGGTGACGTGACCCGCGAAACGACAAGTACACGGTTAACATGACAGCGGGCGGCTGATTTAACAGGTTTAAAAGCGCGACCTTGACACACAAGTACAGTTTTTTTTTTTTTTTTTTTTTTTTTTTTTTTTTTTTTTTTTTTTTTTTTTTTTTTTAAAAGACAACTCCCGCATTAGGAATATATTATCCTGTGTCGCGGGGGACTTTACAAACATGCATGAAACGGACACAAAGAACACCCAGACTCAGAACAACAATTTATGGATCACACAAAGTGTCGTCCCATGTGGGGTTTGAACCCACAACACTCGCCGTAGTAGGAAGCAGCGTGGCGACCGCTTAAACCACTACGCCATCCGTGTAGTTGGACGCAGTCACCGCGGCGATACCCAATGAGGAGGTGGCGGGTCTTACCTGGCCCACACTTTGTCATATAACAAGGCAAAGGGAAAAAATGTTTACTGTATATCGCCACGATTTCGTTAAAGTACCAAATATAAATGCCCTTTGTGTAAACTATAACTTACAAAATAGCATTCGAAACGGAATTCATTAGTTTGTTTTCTTGTCAGAGCAACTGCCGCTCCACCAATTAGCGTAGCTTTTGTGCAACAGGGACAGGTTTGTAGCGAAGCATCTGTTATACACACGATGTGTTTTACTGACAGGGGAACGTAGCTTCGTTCAGACGCTACTTACATCTGTCAGGTCATACGACAATATTGCAAGCCTTAAACAAGTTTGCAATATATGCGCTTAAATGCTATCGTTTATCAAAAACTGGCATAAAATTAAACTTGCACAATTGCACGTAATTTTATAAGATTCTTTGGAAAAGCTAGTGCTCCCTCATATTGTGTCGTCATACATTGCGATCTCACACTCTTTCGGATCACCTACATGTAGCATTCATCTTGAACCCTGCCCGGCACTGCACACCTGTGCACAACTACCTAGTAAATATACTAAGTATGCGGTTAACTCGCGGAGCTTGCTTGTATTGTCGTGTGTTTGGGGGGTTATGGCACAAAAGGGTCACTCGCATCCTGCACAACCACCGCCACCATTGCTCTTTCATAGAAATACAACAAAATAATATTAGATTATCCACCATGTAGATAATTAACACTCCAAGGCTTGGCGTGCTTGGAGTGTTAATTTCGACTTCGAGAGATGGCTGGGGGTTTGCTTAGTTGGCAAAATATTTGTTTAGTTAAAGCACTCACTAAATTCAGTAGGAACTCGTTTTTTTAGGAATTTGCTATTTGGCATGTATTCACAATAAGGAAAACAGTCACTTCGCAAACGATTGAAAGATGATTTTCCACAGCACAGTTCCTCCAATGATGTACAAATTAAAGATTAAAACGAGTTTTGGACAGAGAAGCCCGTAACGATACCGTTCCATGTTCAGCAGACTTATGTAGTTGTGTAACGAGGTCGGGGCGACGATAAACCGAACGTTACAGCGGCCGCTCCTCACTTGCACAAACACTTCTACCTGATCGTTTTTTCTCCATCTCATACAAACGTTTGATATAACAACAATAGAGGGTGGCTCTTAAGAAAGGAGTCCCCTCGTACGACACAATCCGAGAACATCTGTCGATTCCGGGCTCCTTAATTGACGCACCGACATTGAATTGCGCGTTCCTTTTTATTAAATAGTATGCGAGCGGACCTTGGCTGTTTAATCTTTATATATATAATTCTTCTGTGAGTGTGTATGTCACTGAACTTCTCTCAAACGACTGGACCGATTTTGATGAAATTTTTTGTGTGTGTTTAAGGGGATCTGGGAATGGTTTAGATTCACAATTTTGTCCGCTGGACAATGTTTTTTTAATTAATTTTTAATTTATTAGGAGTTGTTGATTTTGGAATGTTTTACATTGGATCAGACAGACGGCGCTACCATCGCAGTGTCAAATTTGACAGGACAACGTCTGTCGGGTCCGCTAGTATATGTATATAACATCGCGTGGAACCCCGCTGGAGCAAGTTTTATTTAAAGATGTTTGAATATTTTAAAGATTTACTTGCGTTAGTGAATGTGCTGCAATGACAACGCTAAGTACGTCGCAATATCTACAAAGGTGGTATCACTAAGTACAGTAACAATTATGGACCCTGACGGGCGCAACACTGTTTGTTTGGGAGAGAGGAATTAACATTTTATTTGTCACAATAATTATAAAATTTATGAATTTTATCATTCATATTATCTGTCTTCAAAATATTCCCTTATATTGTATTAGCTTTAACTTAGAAAGAGTTTAATTTATTTGTGAAACTGTTATATTTATCTTATTGTTTTGTGGTTTTGGGTAACTTATTGTAGGCTGGTAGATTAAGTATATCTTTGTGTCTAAGTGTCATTTTGGTTTGTATGTCTTGAGATGATAAAAAAAATTGGCCGTTTTTGTAACATTTGTCATTGTTGCTCGGCTCCTAATGACCGCACCTATATGGGCTATTCAACACTAAAATAATTTTTCAATTCGAACCAGTAGTTCCTGAGTTTAGCGCACAATCAGTCAAACAACCTTCAACTTGAAAATATGATGAAAGTGCTCCTGTGGGCCACCTATTGTGTTTATTGCACCCTAATTGTGCTAAGTGTGAATAGTTCATTGAACACCTTAATGTGTTCTGTAAATAATACGATAGTGAAAATCGGTCATTAACGAATTAACATACTCGAAAAACTTTACTACGCAATTTTAAATTATTTTATTTCGCGGGGAGATAAATAGTGATGAGACATAATATTAACCTTTTAAATATGGCTCAAAATTAATAAAAATATATATATTTGATCACCCAAAAAACTATACTATGTAAATACACATATTATCGTCTTGTAGTCTCCCGGTAATGGCGTAACGGTAATGACAATGAACGTGCGCGCGGCACGAGGAGTGCGGTAGAGAGTGGGCAGGGAGGGGGGGGGGGGGAGGGCAGAGGCTGCGCGCGACAGCTGTTCGAACAGGAACGTCTCGCGTCATTATCCTGCGCTAAACCCCTGCGCGCATCTCACCTGTGCCCTGTGTGAGTGTGCGTGTGCGCGCGCGCGTGTGGCGACGGTTTGCGTTTGTTCACATAAATACATCATAAATAACAATATTCTAATCATATTATACATACATTCTTCTGTATTCTGTACAGGAAATACATTGATTTTGGATTTCTGTTATTCAAAAAGTATAAATATATACAAATATTATAAAGCTGATGTTTGTTTGTTTGGTTGAACGCTCTAATCTCAGAAAGTACTGGTACGATTTGAAAAAAAAAACAGTGTTAGATAGCCCATTTATCGAGGAAGGTCATAGGCTATATGTAGTATAGAGGCTATATGTACTATAGAGTATCAATGAAGAATATTGCAATAATTATAAATAAATTAGAATTTCAAAAAAAGTCCCGCGACAGCATCTATATCTTTAACATTTATTATGGTAATCAAATTTGTTGTAAATAAATGCATTATTTACGAAGGTGTTATAAAAATAATATTACTCCTTATCCAAATAAATACAACATTCACAAATTGCCCTTTACATCATTTTGCTTTCAATAAATATCTTAGGAGATCAGTAGGATCAGTTAGCTCTACGCCTCGGCACCCTGCTACGGAACGGTTGTGTGCAGCGAACTACTTTTTTTACCCGACTTCTAAAATAGGAGGAGGTTATCAATTCCACCCTTTTTTTTGTTGTACTTTTGTTTATGCGATATTTCATCGTATAATATTCTTTAAATTAATAAGTTTGTAATAAGTTTTGCTTTAATTAAGTTATTTTAATTTCAATATATTAACTTAACTAAGTAAATAGGTACCTACACTTACAATTTAATATAGGTAGACACTCATCTATACATCTATACAAATAAATAAAATTGGAGTGTCTGTTTGTAATATTAAAATAACCGCTTTTTACTAAATGCATATGTATGTTTACACGGTACATATGCCAAAATAACATTTTTTACAATTTTTGTCTGTCTGTCTGTCTGTTTGTTCCCGGTAATCTCTGGAAAGGCTGGACCGATTTCGACGGGACTTTCACTGGCAGATAGCTGATGACATAAGGAGTAACTTAGGCTACTTTTTTTAGACTAGCTTCGCCCCGCTAACAACAAACGCGGGTAACACCGCTCGTCTCAGCTAGTATAATTTAATTCTGTAGTACTTAAATAGTATGTTCATGTACATATGTTTCGGTAATTAATTTTCTTTAGGGTATTGTTTTTGATTTTGTAGTAATTTTCTATTGGACAATTCTTTTGCGTGGATTTGCGATATCCCATCGTAAAATAAATACTTTTGGATAAATAAGTAATAAGTTTTGATTTTGTTTTTAACCCCCGACGCAAAAGCGGCCGGGTATTATAACTTTGATGTGTCTGTCTTTGGAATCGCAGCTCCCGAACGGGGGAAATAAATTTGCAAGGTGAATTAGTCGGGCGTGTTTTTTAAATTTTGTATTTTTTTTTTATTGCGAAACGGGGATAATGATCCTTTTGAGAGACGAGGACGAAGCTTAACTAAGTATTGTCACACACACCATAACCTCCCTCAATAAGTCATAAAATCTATCTGCATTCATGCGGCCTGTAGTGGCACAGATTAACGCATTTGATCAAACAATCGAACGTATTGAGTCTAACCTAGTAGGTCAGCAATGATATTAACATATTTTTTGTGTATCGTGCGTTGCTCGGTGAACCAGTGTCTATTGTGTGTGTACGGCTCAGTTTTTGTAGCGAGCTCCGTTCGAAGGTGACGCCGAGATGACATCGCGAGCAGATGGTGAAGTGAAGCCCCATTAACAGCTGCTCATAATGCGGCTACGAGCGCCTTTACCCGAGTGCCTTGCGATACACACTTTGATGTTTAAATATTGATCTCTGATGATTCGACACAAAGACGTACCGCAATTCATTTTTTGGGCAAACCATAAAGCTGTGGTCAATACTTTGTTAGTAACGTCTTGTATGACTACTTTCACGGAATATATTATCGAAGGCGCCATGTTTACTTCATTCATATATTTGGTTTATTTTATAAACCGTATGTTGTCATGTTAACAGAATTAACGCACCCTGGTCGATGGTCGAGTTGTATATATTTACAATGGTCGGATTAAAATATGTATTAACACACACACACACACACACACACACATCTCTCTCTCACGGCTACATATATGTACATAGAGGCGTGTATTAAATGCCTACACTTGACAATGAATGTAGTCTCACTTACGTTGCTAGGAGTCAAACAGTTTCAACAACCAGACGGGACAATTGGGAGTGTACTGTAAGGATAGTACAAGCAGCGGTAGGTACAAATATTGTTTGTAAGGATAGACCCTGGAATAGCTCGCGACGCGGTGACCGGGGTGACCCGGAGCTAGTGGCGAAGGACGCGGGGTGGAGGAGGCGCCGGGTGTCCGAAACCTTAGCAAGAGATAAGAATGCAGGACGCGGCAGCTGCGCGTGCGCAGAGCGCGGAATGCGCACCTGGCACCTGCCGCCAGCCGACGGCCCCGGGGCCGGCGAACTGCACTCGACACTCTTCTATACCTTATACTTAGGCCATCACTAACCAATACTTTAATAACTTTCTGTAATTAAAAACATTTTTAAAAACAAACTATTAAAAATAGATTTATTTATATAGACTATGTTTTGGTATTTGTTATATAATATACTGTCATAAAAGTTATAAGTATAATGTGTTATAATATAGAAGATTTTGCTATACTTTTATGTTTCTATTTGTTTATAATCATCAAACTATGCGTTTGCAAAATTTCAGCATTATGAGTACATAAATATAATTGGTTTAAAATTCATTCGCAATATTTGACGCGAACAAACATTGGTACACACAAAAATTGAAATTTAAATAAAAGCTTGTAAACGGAGCAAATAAAAACGATTCAAATTTCATTTATTTACTGTAATCTGTAAGATTAAGAAAGCACATTGCCTAATCTTGTGTAGTTCTGTATTCGACCGAATGACAAACCAAAACATTGGCGACCAATGTTTGTATTGTTATTAATACAGTGTTATATAGATTACGACTCCTGTGCCGACTCTTTTATACAAAATCCTTCCTTCGTTGTAAAAAAAAAATATAGAGCCCATTTGTACACAATGCATTTGCTATTGTAGTGTCGCGGCTCGACCACTTATATGCTAATTTAGTATTAGTCGCGTTAGATATATGAATAGTTACAGTGGACATCCCTTTTTTTTGACAGAGGTCGTGCACTGTAAAGAAGTCTAATTTAGATAATTAAAAAATGCAATTTAACGTGTTCTACGTGTACAATTCACTTGTTCGCGGATTGCGAGAGCGAGAGGTGATTGTGCGCGGAGGTGGCCCCTCACTCCCAGTTCAATCAGTGAGGTGCGGCAGGTGTGCGCTGCACGTGCAATGCGCTCGCGCATCTGCCGCCCGCTCAGGTATATAGCGCTCGCAGCGCACCCGAACGACATTCGCGCCGCGACCGTCCTCGCGAGCACACAGCGTCAGTGGCGGATAGTTCGAGTGCGAGTTGCAGTTCGTGAAACATGATCATCTGCCTGTCCGGGTTCGTGATAGCCGGGTCAGTTCCACCACACGTCATAAACCCCCCTTGTGTGGACATATCTTCTTTTATGAAAAGTGATTGATATTGGATATCATCTATATGTTGATATTTGCTACCGAGGTGGCAAACAAGCACTTTTGAAATTAGAAATTCAATTACGTGCATACACGTGAGTGCGTGCGGCTGCCTGTAAGATGGTGTAGCTCCCTAGTCGCTGAAATTTTAGTCCGATTTGAATGTAGATCATTTGGAGCCTTTTAAAATGTGACAGCGGTAGTTGATGAGAGGGCGAAGGCGAGTGCTCGTAGTTGACGACGAGTGTTGATCGTTACAGAACGTCGCCGACGTCGATGCCGATGATACGCAACGACACGTCGGCAGTGGAGCGGATGCTGGGCGTGGCGCCCGCGCCAGCTGTGGGAGTGGGGCTGGGACTTGGCGCGCGCTACTCACCCCATCACCACCAGCTGCTACAGCACTTCGCACCGCCAATGATGCCGCACAGAGGTAACTACCTTATATATCAGTGCCCCAAAAATATGCATGATCAAAACTAAATTACATTGAATTTAGATTATTTTTAATTAGCTTTGTTTCCTATTAGGGCCTATCCATAAATTACGTCCCATGTAAGTAGTGTAACGTTATGTAATAAGGGCCATCACGTCACGAAGCTTATGACCTTCGCGGTCATAAACCATGTTTTGCTGTCGAATCTTCGCCGGCAAATTTTAGAACTCCTGCTATATTGTTCTGGGTGTTAAATCAAAATATGTGACGTCACATATTAATTGTTACGTCACGTAAAATGGGATTTACATGGAAATGAGGGTAAAAAACTTAGTGAGACGAAATTTATGGATAGCCCTTAATTATAAAGGGTCGTATAACATGACTACAAAAACACAATGAGCTAATCACTCACACTGTTAATGTTAACATACGTCAGTTGTACGGAGCGTAGAGGTGACGAGAGCCATCTCTGTGTGTGAACAATGTCCTTCAGAATGTGTTAAACTGGAGGCGCTACAGTACCATTAGGGTACATGTTTAAAGAAAGTTGTTAGATTAGGATAGGAATAGACATTGAAAGAAAAACATCGTGTAAAGTTTTTATTGGCTCAAATAATAATTAGACTACAGATTGTTATAACATGAGTTTTAAAGATTATAGTAATAATAACTTCACACATCACACACCCAGCTGTCTGATTCCAAACTAGGCAGAGCCTGTATAGTAACCAGACCGCTGATAAACATACTTATATATTTCTAAATACATACATATAGGTAAACTACACCCAGACATAGAACAAACGATCGTGCTCATCCCACAATATTTGTTCTGGGTGGGAATCGAACCCACGACCTCCTGGTTTAGCAGTCAGGGTCACCAAGCACTCGACCAAACGGGCCGTCAAAACTATAAAACTTGTATTAACTATTTACAGACAATAAAAGCATTTTTACTACTATGACTGGCCAACTTCACTCCGCCTATAATTGCTATGTTCATGTCCTTCCTATGGGTAGCTACATGGCGCTAGGCCACACCGGTCGGTTTTACAAATATTATCTGCTGCTTTTTGGTTTAAACTTTTTTGATTTAGCTTCCATACGAGATGCGCTCCTCGACTCTACACTCCAGTAGTTTCCTAATGTAACTGTAACGTTTGAAAGCGAGTCGTCTAACGGTCGCGTGCTTGTCGCAGGGGTCGGGCGCTCCAGCAGCAGCTCGGCGGAGTCGGTGTCGAGCCACAGCGCCTCCCCCCCTCCGGCGGGCGCGGTGGGGGCGGGGGGCGCGGGGCGGGCGCGCTTCAGCCGCGTGCGGACGCTGTACGCCTGCCTCGGCGAGAGCGAGGGCGAGCTGTCGTTCGAGCCCAACCAGATCATCACCAGCGTGGTGCCGAGCGGCGAGCCGGGCTGGCTGCGCGGCACGCTCAACGGCAAGACGGGGCTCGTGCCCGAGAACTACGTGGAGCCCTTGCCGTGACCCGCCGCACACCAAATACCATATCGTAGTCCTATGTTGTTGATTCTTTTGTACGTCTTTGTATATTTTGTACATTGTAAATAAGAGTTTGTTGATATTTTAACTATTTATATTATACTTTGTTGTGAATTTTGTACCAAATATACTATGTATTACTATGAGCCTGCGCTCGGAGATAAGATAAAGACTAATTCGAACGAAAAATGTTTTTTATTTAATCTTACGATCTCGCTTACGAGGAGACGTCTACGAGTGAGTGGTGAGATACACGGAAAGCGATATATCGTTACTGGCGACGGGCCTCGGCGCGTCCGTCGTCGCGAGTCAGTCGTCGGTCCGCGGTCGGCTTCAGCCCCGCGCGAGGCGCTCCAGGGCCCGCGCGTCCGACGCGCGCAGCACGCGCAGGAGCGCCGCGTACTTGTCTTGTAGCGCGCGCTGGCGCGTCGCGCTCTCCTCGGCTTGCGCGCGCATCTGTCGCTTCAGCTCCACCAGAGCCTGGTCGCGCGCGCCCAGCGTGTTCTCCAAGTCGTGCGTGCGCGCCGCCAGCAACTCCGAGCGCGCCATCGCGCTCTCCGCCTCCGCCTCGGCCCGCGCCAGCGCCGCCCGGTACGCGCGCAGGTCGGGCTCGGGGCGCGCGCAGGTCGCGGCGGGAGCGCGCGTGGCGGCCACCAGGCGCGCCTCGCGCTCGGCCAGCACGAGCAGCTCGCGCCGCAGACGCCGCACGTGCTCGGCGCGGCGCTCGGCGGCCAGGGCGGCCCGCGCCAGCGACTCCACGTGGCGCGCCGCCTCGAAGGACTCGCCCCGCGTGCGCTGCAGCTCGGCGGCGTCCAGCGCGCGAGCCTGCTCCGCCTCGCGCTGGGCCGCCTCGGCGTGCAGGCGCGCGGCCCGCTCCTCGAACAGCGCGCCCTCCAGGCCGGAGCCGGCGGCGGCGTCGGTGTCGAGGCGGGCCGGCGGGGGCAGGGGCGGCGGCGCGGGCTGCGCTCGCTGGGACCGCGCGCGGAGTTCGTCGCGCTCGCGCGTGAGCGCGCGCACCCGCTCGGCGAGCGCGGCGTTCTGCAGCTCGAGCGCGCGCACCTCGCGGCAGCGGCCGAGCAGGCGCCGGTTGCGCTCGGCGTGCGCGTCGCGCCTCCAGCGCTCGTACATGAGCTGGGCGTGCGCGAACGCGAGCTGCTCGGTGAGCTCGCCGGGCGGCCTCGCGCCGGTCCGTCCGGAGTACATTTCGGCCATGTGGGTGTCCAGCCGCTCGCACGGGGCGATACCGTCCCCGCTCTGTCGATGAATAGCGTTATCTTTTTAAGATCGATATTACTTTGGTGCTCGATCTCTAAATAACATATAAAGTTATTAATTAAGTAGTTAAACCGTCCGATACCAAAAAGCAGATTACAATATGAATATCGAATTTGAACTAAAAAAAAAAGACGTGGGCACTCGGGGACTGCCGCGGTAAAGCTATTGCATAGCATTTTTTATCAACTTATATAATTATAATTATTTATTTATTTTATATATGCAGTATTTTTTTGCCTTTGTTTTTTTTTTCTTTGATATTAATTAGATTGCAGGGCGAAGAGGGGGATTACGCATGCGCCGTAACTCCGATACAACCCACAAATGCCACCTAGAGGCGAGTTGCTGAACTAAAGAGACAAGCGTGATATTTCAAAAAAGTCATTAAAAGTTCTGCTATTCATCGATAGATGGCAAAACTAAAAGTATCACGTGGGGTGTGTTAGGTTATTTTCGTTACGGAAATTCTGGATTCGGTCTCCACGCTCAAGGCCCGCGATAGAAACTATGCAATAGCTTAAAACATAACCTTTTAAGTTAGGAAACCAATCATTTATCAGTTATAATACTAACATCGAAAATGATATTCAAAAAACCCCCCGAGCCTTCTGACGTTATGTTGAGTCTAATCGACAATTTTTTTCGTTAAGTCTTTTGTTCGTCTAATTTCATTGAGGGAATGCTTGGTACAATGTTTAATAAATATTTTTTTGTGCTCATTTTGCGTTTTGTACATTTTGCTCCGAAGGGATTAATATACTGTAATGTATATAACGTATAAAATATATTTCGTGCAAATAATGCGATTAACATCCTGGCATTAGGCGCTTCCCTCGAAGCTCCCTTCCAAAAATTATGTAATTGGTCAACAGTTTCCTCGCAGACAAAAGCATTAAGGTCGTTATCGACGGTGCATGCTAGGCAAGGCTGTGTGCTATAGTCTGGCCATAACTGCTGTGCACTCTCTGAGGTACGCTCGTACGGTATCTCCAAGCTGCAAGAGCTAGGGTTGGAAGCTCTCTCTCATCCGCCATACTCACCAGACATTGCACCTACCGACTATTACTTTTTCCAAAATTTAGAAAACTTTTTATTGGGTAAAAAATTCAATTCCCGAGAGGCAGTACAAAATGCCTTTGAAGAGTTTGTTGGGAGTCAACAAACTCTTCAAAGGCATTTTCAGTCCAGCTGATTTTTTCAAGAAGGGCATTAATAAACTGCCAATGCGTTGGCAAAGATGCATAGATTGCATGGGTGATTACTTCGAATAACAGAAATAAAAAAGTTTGAAAAAATAAGTACTTTCACTTATTGCATACAAAACGGCAATTTCATAGGTAAAGACCTATTATTATCGATTCATTTATAATAAATTTGCAAGACTGATTCAAGTTCCAATGACGACATGGACGATGAAGATGATGACGAAATGGAAGATGAAGCTGAAACAGAATCTTTGTCATAATAACTTAAATACTTATACTAATATCTATTTGTTTGTAATTATATTTTCAATAAAACAAATCCTTATTTGAATTGTAAGTTTAGTTCTTATTCATCAACTGTCTAGGTATTTTGATAAAATATCGAGATGTGTAGATTACATTTTTATGAACTAATAAGATAGTACAAATAATATATTTTTATCAAATAAAAAGCCTCCGTTCCGCTACAAGTGTTGCCTTAGAAATGTAAACTGATATCGTAAGATTTGTCCGACGTGTATTAATCGCATGTGTACTCATGCTCTTTTTTCCCCGGCTCCCACCTCGCCGCGCATACCTCAGAGAGTGCACAGCAGTTATGGCCAGACTATACCACCCATATTGTTTCTTCTGCTTATAAATGATATGTTGCAAACTAGTAGCATCTATTGCTATGCGGATAATGGTACGAGAGACGCCTTTTGTACCGGCCGGCTCAATATTTCGCGGGAAATCATCATCGTCAGAGTCGAGAGATTTTTAAAAATAAATCAATACTAATATTATAAAGCTGAAGAGTTTTTGTTTGAACGCGCTAATCTCAGGAACTACTGGTGCGATTTGAAAAATTCTTTCAGTGTTAGATAGCCCATTTATCGAGGAAGGCTATAGGCTATATATCATCACGCTAAGGCCAATAGGAGCGGAAAACCAATGAAGGATGTTTCAAAAACGGAGAAAATTTATTACTATTGAGAGATGCAGACGAAGTTGCGCGGGTCAGCTAGTTAAGTATAAACAAGCAAAATGCTGTGTTTTAGCGGCAATCACAATGAGATGTTGCTATTTTCATTTCAAGAATGTTCAAGAAGAAAGAAAGGAAAGAAATAGCTAAAAAAAAATGTAATAGTCGGTAGGTGCAAGGTCTGGTGAGTATGGCGGATGAGGGAGAGCTTCCAACCCCAGCTCTTGCAGCTTGGAGACTGTCTGTTGCGCAGAATGGGGTCGCGCGTTGTCGTGAAGGAGCAGGACCGATTGACCAAAGCTGGTTGCAGATGTGGCCACCAGACCTTGCACCTACCGACTATTACTTTTTCCAAAATTTAGACAACTTTTTAGTGAGTAAAAGATTCAATTCCCGAGAGGCAGTACAAAATGCCTTTGAAGAGTTTGTTGCCTCTCGTCCAGCTGATTTTTACAAGAAGGGATCAATAAACTGCCAATGCGTTGGCAAAGATGCGTCGATTGCATGGGTGATTACTTCGAATAACAGAAATAAAAAAGTTTGAAAAAATAAGTACTTTCACTTATTGCATACAAAACGGCAATTTCATAGGTAAAGACCTATTAATTATAGGTTTTGGCAACTGAATTTCGGGCAACGATCCGGTTACACGTAAACCTAGTCCAATATTTAAGGTTTATAAATTATTAGACATCGCAGTGTCTAGAGTCAGTGATATAGAGTAACTTTTGACTCGATACTACTGTTTGAAACACACATATTGATAACATTGTTAGCAAGGCCTCCGAGCACTGGGGTTCCTACTCGACGGGTTACTACTAACGAGAAAAAATATATTCTATCCTGTTCCGTTTACATATTTTTACCATGTTACACTGAAAATATTGAAAAATGCACCTAACAAATATTGTTCTACATCAGATTTCCTGTCCAATAGATTTTTTTCAAACCAAACTGGCTTGAAAAAAAGACATGTCTAAGTCCACTATATTTCATATCGTCGTATATCTGTTCCTAAGAACAAAGTAAATAGTTTCGTTATCAATGTGCGTGATTGCATCGACTGGACGTTTTCGGGGCACGGGATACGACATAAACAATAATATTTACTAACTCACCTGTCGTCTGAACTCATCGGGCATCGCACGGAAGAAGTCAGCAATGAGGAACTCGTGCGGCTCCGGCCACGTGTCCACCGTCTGCACCGCCACAGAGGAGCGGCGGGCCCCGGGCAGGCGCGGCGAGCACGAGGACGAGCGCCGGGCCGGCGGGCCGCTGCGTCGCGGGGTCGGCCTCGCCGCCTCGCCGCGCCGGGGATCGCGCGTGCGGCTCAGGCCCACGCTCGGTTCCACGGCCTCGTCCCACTCGTCTTCCGCGTTCGCTTGCGTCGTGAGCTCTAGAACCTCGCGATCCTCCACGTTCAACGGCTCCGGCACCGTGCCGACGTCCAGCGGTGGCGGCGGTCGACTCGGTTCCGGCCTCGCCACGGCGGCGCCCGCCGGGGGCGGTGCTCCCGCGAAAGGGACGGGCGAGTCTGCAGCGCGTCGTTCCAGCGCCACTCGAGCTAAGCGTGCCGAGTACGCCTCGCCCGGCCCGGCGCTCAGCGACGGAGACGTCTCTTTGCGCGGCGGGGACGCCGGCCGCGAGCGACGCCCGATGGCCCGGACGGCGCCCGAGTCCGAGGGGAACCGGAACTGTGCGCGCGTCTCGCGCGCGGGCGTGTTCTCCGGGGTGGCCTCCACGGCGGCCTCCGGCGGTTCTCCCGCGTCCGCGTCGGCGGGCAGGGGCGTGTGGGGCGCGGAATCGGCGCCGCAGCGGTCGCCCAGCGCGAACCAAGGCTCGGCGCCGGGACGCAGCGCGCTCACCGCGCGCGACATGTGACCGCCCGAGGCGAGCGAGGGCGGCGCCGGGGACCCGCGCGCCACTACTTGGGTCACTCCGCCCACCGTCAGCGGCGACGGCGGCGGCTCCTCGGCGCGCGCGCACAGCGACAGACGGCGACACTCCGCCACCACGTCGTGGATGTCGATGCGCGCCCAACGCGCTTGATCGGCCTCGCGATGACGGGAACCCGTCACGAGAGCGGGATGGAGGCGAACGCACTCGGCCAGCGCTCCCACGGCTCGCTCCCACGCGTCGCGCGGTCCTCCGCCGGCCAGTTCGGCCCCGTGCGCGCGCAGGGCCTCCACCAGCGTGCAGGGGTGTGTGGCGTACAGAGCGTGGAAGAGCGCGCGCTGCGCCAGCTGGAGGTGAGCGCGTGCGACCGGGGCCGGCGGCGGGTCGAGAGCGGCCGGACGCAGCAGCGCATCGGCGAGATCGGCCGAGCAGGAGGAGGCGAGCGCGGGCGCGGCGGGGAGCAGCGCGGCCAGGGCCAGCAGCGCGTGCAGCAGAGGTAGCGCGTCTCGTTCGAGGCGCGCGGCGCGCAGCAAGTCACGGGTGAGCGGGTGCGAGGGCAAGCGATGCAGCCAGGGGGGACGGCGAGCCACGAGAGGCGCGAAGGCGGCGAGGGCGTGGTGGCGCGCTGTTCGCTCGCCGCGCAGTTGCTCCTGCAGCGCGTCCAGCAGGTGCTTGGCGTGCAAGTCGGTGGCGCGCGCCAGTAGGTCGAGGGCGCGCGTAGAGCCAGTGCGCGCGTGGTACTGCAGCAGGGCGCGCGTGAGCCAGGGCTCCCGCACGGCGCCGTAGAGCGCTACGAGTGTGTCCGCCGCATCACGGGCTCCACCCGCGCCACCCTCTAGTAGCGCGAACACATCGCCCGCCTCGCACGCCGCTAGCATCTCCAACCGCCTGCCATTAAAGTTTTGAAAATATTCTGTATAAACAACTTGCATTTTTTTTAATCTACACAAAAAAATTCAGATGGCATCATAGAGCAACACGGTAGGGAGTAGCCATACGCAGGTGTCCCCTCTGCCAAAGTACAAGTTACCATTTTTGTGATTATGTTTTCTGATATATTTAATATAATTATGTGGATTGTGAGCATTATTTTAATTTAGTTTACTATTAAAATTGTGTTCAATCAAATATAATACAATATTTCCGTTGTTATTTACAACTACATTGTTTTTATTTATTCATTGCAGGTTTCCTAAAGAGCCGAGTTTAAGAACTATATTAAAGAATTATTGTAATAACAGAGACCTTACCTGCAGTGCTATTCTCTAAGAAAAACAGCCTTGCGTGCAGCGTTGCCTCAACATCGAATTACGCAAGTACGCAAGGCTGCTTTCTTAGAGAATAGCACTGCTGGATACCTACAAGAAACAGTGTCATTTGTTCAGATTATTTCAAGTCTGACTATTATGTGTTGGCTAACAGTAGAAGGATGGAACGTTCTTAATGAAAAAAGCTAACCCACACAAATTTATACAAAATTATTGCAGTTTAAAAACCAGTGATAGATAACACAATTGGTAATATCAATGATTTAGAATCACCACTAGTCATTCATTCCATAATTGCTTAAATATGAACATTCAGATTTTACAATGGGAGAAATGTATTACTAATTACAGGTGAACACAGCATGCTTTAAGACATGTACAAATTTACTAATGTAAACTAAACTTGAAACTTAAAATTAACATTTAAAAGTAAACTTTGATTGTTGTAGTAATAAATTAAGTCCTATATACATTAATATCCACCATTGTATCATTTTAAAAATCTGATTTTCCTAACCAACTTCTCAAATTTATTGATATTGCATACTGATAGTTGTTAGAACCACAGTTGTTGCATCACTTCATTACACAGAATGTGTGTATGTGTGTGAAATTGTTCATTTGTTGTTTTAATTGTTAGTGTGAGTTTGGTAGTGACAGCCAATTGTTTTTGTATGTAGAATGTGTGGGGTAAAGATTCCCCCTGCAACCAATGACGGACTATTTTGTATATAAAAAAGACACTATGGCTACTCCGGTCATGTCTCCGGTCCGCCGTGTTTTGGCATAGTGGTTTAAACAGTCACCTTGCTTTCTACTACACTGAGTGTCAAGGGTCCGATCCCAGCTTGGGACACTTTATGTGATCCATAAATTGTTGTTCTGATTCTGGGTGTTCCATGTGTTCATTTCCTAAAAACTACTTTACTGGTCTTTTTCTTTCTCTCAATTTCATTTATCCTACTACATTTCTGGTTGTTCATACCAGAACAGTACTATGAAAGCTACGAGTGTAGCTTTTATGCTACTTTTCTAGTTATTGTAAGTAAAAAGTATTACTTAACATGGATGAAAAAGTTTAAGTGAAGAAATCATTTGGAAAGTTCCAAAGCCAACGAAAAAGAAAGTACCTACGTGCCTAGTGAAGTGATAAGTCAAAAATATTGAGGGCACATTAATGTCTCTTATATTCACGGAGGTTGTTGACGTACACATTCACTACACACATTGCCAATCAATACGTATGTGATCACTGTATAGTAATCACGTACGTACCGATTGGCAATCTCTGAAGGAGGCCTTCAAGGGGAGTCCAGATGGCATGTACATTGGACTAAGATTATCCACACCCATTACTATTCAAATGTATGTAAATGGAATAATAAAGGTTTTATTTTATTTATTCATTAATGTCACTTGAGAAAAGAAGCTAATAGCATAATCAGAACGGTTTAATGTCATGTAAAATAATTGAGAGAAGGGCAGGACCGTGATGATGATGTCTAGTTAGACCTGCCTACGTACCATACTAAAGGTATAAGAATATATTGCATCATATTTATTTCTACCTCTCTGCAAATTAAATAGTGGCTCAACCAGCTTACTAACAAGTTAACAAGCATTGCAGACAACTGTAAGCCGATTCCATCTACTGCCTTCCTTGCTACCTACCTACCTTTTACTTCTATATTCTTTTCTATACTTACTACCAATTATTCATACTAATAAAATGATAGTTTGGATAGTGTATAGTCCAATAGTGCTAAATTCGTAATTTTCAAAGTTTAGAGAAACGAACGTAGTCAAATTTATTAAAAATCGACAGAGCAAAGTATGTCGAGTCAGGTAGTTAAAAATAAATCGCAATAAATAACACGCATTTAATAACCAACGATGTGTATTTGTTATTATTTGTGTAATATCTACGCAGGTCAACTAGTTATGATGCGGTACTGTTTTTTTAAGACCACCTACCAATCAGCAGTTCGGTGAGACGATCCTCGAGTCACTTAGGAGACAGTTTGATTCGTTCGCCGAAATTAGGCTCAGCTTAAGAACTGTATCAAGTGTCTGTATAATAAGCATGTGCATGTAAAAAGTAAAAAAAAGTCTGGATTCTAATATTGATGCACTTAACAAGATTCCGATAAGAAAACGAGCTAAACCCGCATTAACTTTTAGCCGACTATCAAATCAAAAATCAAAGTGCCACAGCTGACAAGTGTGACAAGTGATATGACAACTAACAACAGCCAAATTATTGACAGCAGGGATGTAGATTGTGGTGAGCAAAAGCTGGTAGGTACAGATGTTGCTGAAGGGTCTAAAAGCTGCTGCTAAAAAAAGTTGGTACACTCACATTAACGTCATATTAATAAAAATAATAATAACAAATTGTTTATTTTTATGTTCTTTTAAATGAAATGTTTAATTATCGAAGATCTTCTTTATTAAAAATTCATACCTAATTAAAAATTAACAATAATAGTTATTTTTAATATTATAACTAATAATTATTATGCTCATTATTCGTTGACGATTTTATTATTAGATCTAATGTCTACACATAATTTGAAAAAAATCGGTTGTCTGTAAAGTCGCTTTACTGACGATAGTTGAACGTGACAACGTTATAAGAAAATACTAATGGAATGGTTGCATTTTTCAAAAGAAAATTTTAATTTTATTTGTTAGACAGATGTCGAACGCTGCCGAACGCGGAGGCCGATTGTGCCTCTTTGTCGCTCGTTCCGCGCTCTCGCTTGCACTTCAAGCCTTAAATGGAACGCCTCAGAGCGAGGTAACGCCGCATGAGTCATGTTTTTTCGTGCGTGCAGCCGGCTCCATTGAATTATAAGACGTTGTCACGTCAAAAAATTACATTGACGAATTTTATATTATTTTCTGACAATATCATACCCGTCCTCCATGGATAATTCGCTCGAATAATAAAATTAATCTGAAGTAAGTTACTCAATGGGTCAAAAATAAATTTCATTGCGAAAAGTATTTTTTTTAATAATTAGATGTGATATAAATATAGAAATAATATTTTTTAATAATTAGAGAAGACGAGTGCTGCCGTTTTAATATATCAATATTATTATATTATTTACTTCCTTTTAAGGTATCTTTACTACCTCTGTAGTGTTTTTTTTTTCCACGTGGAAACCCACCAGATCATTTCACCAAAACTGAGGTTGAAGTGTTATGTCGGATATTGCGATTTAGCAATGATCGATGACTTACCTTTTTTTGGTTTATTACCAGTGTTATTTACCAGTTATTCAGGCACTGATTGACTGACTGACTGAATCTATTCAACTTTTTATACTTCATATATCTTCTAGGGTCTTGAAATGATCTGAACTAATGACGCTGTTTTTTGTAGGTATCCAGGTAGGGTATCTAAGCCGATGTTGCTTCGACTAACGGCGAGCGATGAAAGGGGGTCGACAGCGCTGGTCTTCACACCGTCTCGCAGGGGACGCGTGGAGGCTGGATTGGGGCTGTATGCCAGGATACTTGCAGTGAGCAACGATCTCGGAGGCACAGGGGTACGCCAGTGTATGTCTACTCCCCACCGTGTTGCTCTATGGTTACGATCTTTTAAACTTCAAGAAAAAATCGTACTCCTACTACTTTAGCCAGAAATGTACTCCGGACTTTGGAGTTGCAGATGTCCATGGACTAAAGTATTCACTTAGCATCAGAGGGACTAGTAGGAGTTTATTTAACATCAACTCGATCTTAACAGTGAGTGGTGAAGATTTCAGTGCAGGGCAATAGCAACGTCGAATGCGGTGACTGTAGCAGCGGAGTTGATGTGAAATAAACTCACAGTAGACCTCGATTATAATATATATAAAAATAAATACAATTTTATTTTTTCTAAAACAGACATCAACCGTCTGATCACAACCTATGCAGATCTGGTGCTACGGTCATCAAACTATTTAAGAACATACTCTTTTATACATACAGATGATTTACACCCAGACACAGAAGAATAATTGGTCATCACACAATTATTTCTTCTGGGTGAGAATCGCAGCCATTACCTTTTACTCAAGTCTGGGTCACGGATCAATAAGCCAACACTCCCTTTAGGGTGTTATCTTTTGTAGAGAAGTTTAATAAACTTTCAAATCGAATTGAGTACTGTTATTGTATTTAAAAAGGTTTCTACCTAATTCAGTCCACCACTACTCGAATGAAAATGAATGACAACTGTCAGAAAAAGCGATATAACCTATACATACGTTTTACATTTCATAATAATTTAGAATATTTACGCTATGTGTGGAAATGATAATTCATGGATAATGAATTAAAACTGAATTTGTATAATTCAGTAAAAGCATTTAATGCAAATAAATTTTCTTTTTTGAATTAGTGTGTACTGTCAAAACAAGAGTAATGCTCAGAGCCGTATCTTCGATGTATATTGAGAGCCAGGCGCTCTCGTCGCTCGAGGTACTCTCGTCAGCGAGGAGAGACGTGTTTAAGTTGTTCCGTGAGTCCTACTTTCATTATAAAATCCGAAATTATAGCCTCGTAAGTTGTTACCACTGAGAGTGATAATACAGCATTGATACACTTAATCGGGATCTACGTTTATCGGCTTCGTATGTCTATTGTATACTTGTACAAATTTATTTTTTCAACCTCTGACTGAGTAGACTTTGGTAGGTACCTCATGTTTAGTTCCTCACCATTGTTAATTTAGTTTTGACTGAAGTCTACTGCTGGTGCGCTCCAACCGACAGTATTAATTTTCCCAGCAATACCTACTCACTCAAACTGTACCCTACACTTATTCTGAGCTTTACACATAAGTGGTGTGGACATCAAATAGACTAAGCTTACCTTTAGTTGTTATATTTAATCCTGATTGTAGTAATTGAGATGTACAAAAGACTTAATCAGAAAACACTGGGACACTAGGAGATGTGACATTTTGAGAATTGATAAATGCATTTTATGAAATGAACATGCATCAAAGTTCAGCTGATTCTTGGTAAACTTAAAGCCGACCCAAACATAGTTTGGGCAAAAAGCACAGAGTACTTGCTAACTAACTATGGGCTTGTTGCAGGGACCTGCTCACTGTCCACACAGGCATCTGCTGCACAGGTAAGCAATGACTCCTGATCACATTACTCATTAACACACAGTACTCTGTGATACCATTCTCCCAATTGTTAATACCTATTCTCATTTTACAAGCATGCAAAGAGAATAAAAAGTTACAAGACGGTAAGTGCTGACAATTCAATAACATTAAGTAGATTTTCCTGTAAATTCAATATACAGATTAAATGAATCTGAGAATTTGTTAATAATTATGCAACTATTTTTGGTTAAAGTTATAATTTTAATATCTTTTTCTTTATTCCATCTGTCAAATAGTCAACATTATTATACCTGTTGTTGAGTATCTCCTTTAACTTTCTGATTTAGGTTTAAGTATACAATAATGTAGTTTTAAGTCATGGATACTCATGTTTCACGGTATTGGTTGCTGTCCATATGGGACGATGTAGTCGCTCAGCGACAAAGTCCTTTTAATATTAAAAACAAAAAAAAAGTATCTCCTTAGCTTCTGGCATCTGATAATCATCTAATCTAGGTTTTATTTTTTTTATTTGCTAAATAAAGAAATACTGCATGTGTCTGACTACTTAAAGCAGTAGTGTTTAGTATACACAATATGATTTTTATGAGCTATTATTATTAATTTCTCTACATGCATTTTTTTTGTTTATTTGTTTTGTAACTTTTAATTTAATGATCTTTCAGTAAACTAATAAACGGTTGTTTATTCTCTATTTTATGCAAACAATTATTGGCAGAGGCTTCATAGGTTTCTCTCTTAGCTCCGTGCCTGGTTCTTGTGTATTGTCATCACAGGTTGTAAATAAACTGTTACTAGTGGTTACTGATTGAGTTTGAGAAAGCCAGTATGTATTCAGTTTGGTTTGTGGGTCCTTTAGTGCCATTAGGGGTAATCTTCTTATTCTTAATCTTTTCACTTCAGTTAGAATGCTCCAGTTTTTTTGTCCCTTACTTGTATAACATTTTATATTAACCATTATTTTCTATCTCAAAAGATGTACGGACTGAAATGTTGCGTAGTGAACAAGCCCCAGGTCTATTTTGGAAGATCCCTTTATGCTGCACTATTTTGACTGCACCAATTGCATAGTGGCTTAAGTGGTCACCTCACCGCTTCTTACTGCACTGAGTATTGTGGGTCCGATCTCCACACTGGACAACACTTTGTGTGATCTACAAATTGTTGGGTCTGGGTTTTTTTTGTGTCGGTTTCCATCTATTTGTGTCCAGGATATATTCCTAGTGCAGTTGTCTTAAAAAATAATAATTGTGGTTGTTGTTGATCATGAGAGACAAATAAATGCGCACGGTAATTTCAAAATTCGGGAAACAAGATTGTAAACGCTACCCTCGCCCACTATTTAAGGTCCCACGGGCCCGGACGAATTTAAGGAAGCAAACAAGCACCAATTGGGATGACTCACGAATATGACACCATTTCACTTCCTTCGGGGGACACAGACATCTTTTGTAATAGTCTGGCTAAATTTAAAAAAAAAATGTTCGTATTCATATATTGAACACTGTTTAACCTTGTTTAATTGTTGACATACCTACCTACCATCTAAATATTTACTACTACTAATTTACTAATTTTTGCACAATTAATTGTTATAATTCTTTATAGTTTTTTTTCATCTACAAAAGCCATTAAAATCTGTGGCCACTATTTGTAATTATTTTTTTTATGTCCATGTTGTGGTCTTCTATAATTGAGGAAGCACAAGGCGTAAAATTTTATTTGCTGTAAAATTAGCATGTAAAGTGTATTTCTTGTTGGAGATCGATTAAATAAAAATAAAGAATTATTAAAGAATAATTAAAGCTAAATTTAGCAAAAGCTCAAAACTTGCAGTTCCAGAGCCTCGTGCTTTTTAGTCTCAAAATACTAGCCGCACCAGAATTGAGGAATGCAGCGAACTGCACTAATTCATCGCCCAGGTTGTCCTCCAAATAATCTGCAAAGGCACTTATGATGACTGCAGATTTTCTTTTCTAATATAAGAGATTTCAGCTCTCGTAATATCACCAAAACGATAGTAATTTTATGATATGCTGCTTTAGGTAAACGTATGAATACGTTTACCTAAAGCAGCGAGCACGTTATCAATATTAACAATAAACATCCTAATTTTATATCGTTGTTCAGGTGTTTGATTTTAACCATAGTCGTCGAGTACAAAATACTCCAATTACAGCGGTTCAGCTACCGCTGTAATTGGAGTATTTTGTATTTCGCTTCCTTCGTCTAGTTTCTTGCTAATATGCCTTACAGACAATCAAAACTTTGACTTTTGCCTCAATATCTGATTCTGATCGAACCATGCTGCACTAGTCGCTTGCAAACGTTCTAAGATTCCGTTCCACAATATTGACATTATTCTCGATTCCAATTTACTAATTTTTGAAACCAGTCCGTAAGCTTGATTACGGTACTCTGCCTTTTGATTCACGTTACTGGAAATGTCTTTCAAACTTTTCTTGATCTTAGTAAAACCCTATAAAACCGCCTTCGCAGCATCAGCTTGGGGTGACTACCTAGTGTGTCCGTTTCATTTGTAAAGTCCCCTAATAATAATATATTCCTAATGCGGGAGTTATCTTAAAAAAAAACGAAGAAAACCGCTTCGTTACGTAACGTGTTACGTCGCCTGTCTGTCTGGCTTCCCTTTCTCTCACGCATACGGCAGCGGTAGGCAGGCTCCTCCTCTCTCACTCTAACCCACAGCGCTAACCGTATTTCGGACAGACGCTTTACATAAAATTTAAGTAATAACCTAAGTTTTTCTCAAGTTAAATAATTTCAATATTAAATAGTTCAACTTAGATTTGTTTAGGTCATCATTTCTGTCGGCCGTCCCGAAAAGCACACGTTTTTTTTAATTTGTTTGAATTTTTCACATGCCAGCGTCCAATCCTCCATTTTACCCTTCTTAAGTAAAGGTGCTAATCTACTACTAACTTACACTTAACTACTAACTTTGCATAAAAGTTAATTACACCTAGGAAAGATTTCATTTCATTCCGTGGTATTTGTCGGTATTGGAATACCCATTATAGTCTCGATTTTTGCAGGATTCGCTTTAACTCCCTCTTTACTGATATTATACCCTAAATATCGCACCTCATTCACTAAAAATACACACTTTGTACTTTTTAAGTTTAATCCAAATTTCGACAGCCTACTGAATACCGCCTCTAAAGCCGTTAAATGTTCCCACTCCGATTTTCCTATAATTATGACGTCATCAAGGAACATCGTTCGGCATAACCTTCAATAAATTGCACATAATCCTTACAAAATGCCCTCGCTGGAGGCCAGTCCAAAAACTAGCCTATTATACCTGTACAAACCGCGGTGTGTATTTATAATCCTATATTGTTTTGAATCACCCAGTTCAACCTGATTATAAGCCTGTGATAAATCGATCTTCGAAAAATATTGTGCTCCATTTAAATTAACAATTATATCCTCGATTTAAGGCAGCGGGGTATCTATCAATAAATAATACCGGATTCTTGAGTACCTTTATAATCTTCTGGGTTCTTCGGAGTACTTTATAATCTGCACAAATTTTCAATGAACCGTCAGCTTTGCTTACTCGCGTAAGAGGCGAGGTCCAGTCGGAATGTTCCACGGGCTCGATGATGCTGTCGCGCAGCATGGCATCGAGCTCGGCGTCAGGCGCGCGGCAGAAAACAGGCTTCGCATCCGCAGCGTCGCCTTGCCGCCCGTGTACCGCCCCAGACCTCCAGACAACAGACAGTTTTGTGTAACAAAACATTTAATTCTTTCGACATTTCTTTACTTACCCAATTAACTTTATTCAAATTATTGAAATTAGGCATTTTAGCTTTTAACTCGGATAACCATTGTCTACCAATTAACGAAGTAGTTCCCCCTTTGATTACCAGTGACTCGTAAGTGTTTGGAATAGATTCCGTATTTCACAGTTGGTTCTATCAGCGAAGCCCATCGACGCTGTCGATTCAACGGTGGCCGCGTCTCGCTCCGCCGCCACCAAAGAAGTAACGATCTTTACGGCGCCCGTATGCCTTAGCAAATCGTTCTCCGCGAATAGTCTTTGACGAATTATACTGCACACAAACTGCAATACTGCGCTAGCTTCTTTAATTCTGCCACTAATTAGCAATATTTGCTTCACAAATCTACCTGTGTTGTCTAAAGCGATACCGTTCCGCTAATGCTGATGGCGCGGGTTGTAAATGATCTTTTAATAACTTCACTGCTTCTTCATATCATAATTGTGCTGGTTTCTTAGGGCTCGCTAAATTTGCCAGCAATTCGTAAGTTGCATCCCCCATTACTGTAGGTAGTTTCATCACCGTCTTGATTCCGTTTACTAGAAAGTACATTTCTGGTCTTTCCGTGTACGAAGACCATGCTCCACCGTCCAGTTCATATTCGCAAACCTTACCGACCGACATTATTGTTCTTTTACAATATTTTTTCTAACGTACAAACCCGCCTTGTCGCCACTGTGGTGTCCGTAATAAAACACGTCTATACTCACTGACAATTTATTCCCGACTGCCCTCACAATACAGATATCAGAACTTAATACTAATTTATGCTTCAATGGTTTTCTATGTTCAAGAACTAACAAACTTTCCAGTGGTCCAGATGGACAACTGGAACATAGTGGATATAGTCTACATCTACATGGGATTAATTTGATATATCTGGAGTAGAATCCAATGACACTGAATAACATTAATTTTGCAAATAATTTGTTCCAGTATGTTGATACAATTAGATGCATAAACTCCTCACTCGTTGTTTTTGATAAATATGTCGTATGATCCTTTCCTTTAGTGGCGTGACTTTGATGTTGTGCCATGAAGGCATCAAATTTCGCGATTGATTCCAGTAAAACTAACTAGTCAATAATAGAAACTTTTATACGGTTAAAAAGCGTTAGTGTCCCAAATGCGCGTGGCCGGTAGCATTTGCTACTCTTGCTACGTGGCTAATCCGCCACTGCGGTTATCGCGGTAAAAAGTGGCCTACCTTTCTCGCTAATAATGTAGCTTTTCATAAGTGTAAGATTTTTTAAATCGGTTTAGAGGTTTAGGCGTGAAAGCGTAACAAACAAACTAACTTTCACCATTATAATACACTAGCTGACCCGCGCAACTTCGTCTGCGTCTCTCAATAGTAATAAATTTTCTCCGTTTTTGAAACATTCTTCATTGGTGCTCCGCTCCTATTGGTCTTAGCGTGATGATGTATAGCCTATAGCCTTCCTCGATAAATGGGCTATCTAACACTGAAAGAATTTTTCAAATCGGACCAGTAGTTCCTGAGATTAGCGCGTTCAAACAAACAAACAAACTCTTCAGCTTTATAATATTCGTATAGATATCGTCATAGTCGTAGAATAATGTCTGATCTGACATTTATTGCACTTTACAGGGCAGCCATTTCAAATAATTATGTTATTTTTTGACATAACTTTTTTAGTTCTAAATGTGTAATTATGAAAATTGGCATACAAGTGAAAAATATTATTTGTTTTAAAATGCAATAAAAAGAACAACTAATAATTTTCCAATTTTCTAGAAAAATCTCATGCTTCATTTTACTTAGAACGCCTGTCAAACAAACACTAAATAATTTAATCTTAAATACATATGTTCAATCATGAACATAATTGCATCACCCAGCAACAGCATCTATGTCACACGTGGTGCGGCGTAAAGTCGATGCACTGTCAACATTTCGGCGTGACCGAGATTAAGGCAGCTGCATCAACACCACACACGAATCGCACACAAGCAAATAGCCATCCATGTGTACTTAGAGTAAGTTTAGTATATGAGATGTACTTTATGTAAATAAATCAGTCATTTTGTCTAATCCGACTTTGACTCATTACCCTGTCCCACCTCTCACTGCGGCCAAGACACCCATCACCGACGACCGACCGACCAAGACGACCGTCAGTAGATCGGTCTTGTGAGCCTGCTCGACCGGCAGTGAGAAAATCATCTCCTAAACCCCGCTCCCTTCACGTCTCCGTCTGTCACCCTAGGTCTCCAGGTAACAGACTTCCCGCACTATCTATATATGTATATTATATCCTCACAGCAAGGTCACATATTGATAGGGCTAGGGAATCTAGGGATTTAGGTACGTAGGCGTAGGTTACGTACGAGTATTGTTTGGTTCACTACGGTGCCCGCTCGATACACGTACTTAGGTTGTATTTTAGATAGGCTTTCGGTGTAACACGTACGAGTGCTGATTGGTGTACCACGGTTGCCTTGGTAGTAGTAATAATATTTAGACAATGTAGTATCCAAATATGGTAAAAACCAAAATTCATAATTTTTTCAAAACCGACATAATTCTACGATCATGACGACATAAGTATAGACGTATGGATTTGTAGTGAGCGCGTGCTTCATCAAATTTCAATTTCAATGGTGCTGGGGAGTTCCTTTCGAACCAACCTGGTTTTCTGTCAAAGTTGTCTCCCTTAACTAGATGATCCTTCACCCTTCTTCCTTAGCTACCAAGGCCACGAAGTGGATGTTATGTGCAAAGCTTGTATTAGGCCAGGATATTGCCCCAGTTGATGGGCTGACCCACAGCAGCTGAGCGGTGATATGGACTAGTAAGATAGCCTAATAGATGTGCGTCTAATAGCCTTGCTTTGCACACCAGGGCGTAAGCTAACGATTCTTCCTGAGCATTTATAGATAATATGCACCACTAAGACCAGTACACCTCACCCCCGCCCCAATATACAATAAATGTGTGTGTGTTGTGTAGACGGTGCTGAGTGCTTCGAGTGCGGGCGCTGAAAGGGCGTCGCCACCGAGGCCGCGCCCTCCGCCACCGCCTCCGCCCCCGCCACAGCCTCCGCGCCGCGCTTGGCACGTCGCCGCCACTGCGCTCGCCATCTCCGCTTCTCTCGGAGGGGTAAGACTATTTGGATGGTTCCACCATACGCAAGTTGAAAGCCGAAGGACTGCATATAAATCGAACAGCCGTGTATAAGCCGTGCCGTGGAAGAAATTTGTCATACAAATATTGTTTTACTATGTGATATTTAACTACTTGGGTTATGTACGTTACGGGTATGGGAAATATATACATATTTCGTTTATATTTCATTAAGTCGGAATTATGAGTTATAAGTGACTCAGACATATTAGCGTATGAGAAATTGAACCAAAACCATTACAATCCATTTACTCTAAATGAGTTATTGAGCTATAGGCACTCACGTAATTGCACTCGATTAGTAGGTACGATGTAAGCTATCGTTGTTGTCCTCAGTTCATGTACTACCGCAAGCGCAGCGACGACAGTAAGGGACCGCTCGATGTCACTCCACAACCAGGTGAGTCTCATGTCATTTTGTAAAATATATCAACATTATCAGAAAATACTCAGGTACTTTAACGTTCGTACGCGTCGTCCACAGTGTCAGAGGCCGAGCCGACGGCGGACGAAGCGCCGCCGATCCCTTCGTCGGGAGAGATGTTCCCGGGCCACGTGCAGTTCTTGCTGGTGGGCGCGGGGACGGCGTCGTTCGCGGCGATGCGAGCCATCCGCGCGGCCCGGCCCGAGGCGCGAGTGCTGTTGGTGGGCGACGAGCGCGAGCTGCCCTACATGCGGCCGCCGCTCAGCAAGGAGCTGTGGCGCGAGCCCGACCTCGCCGAGCGCGCCGACGACCTGGACGCGCTCACGTTCCGCCAATGGAACGGGCGCCGCCGCCCCGTCGCGTACGAGCCCGCCGCCTTCTACACGCCGGTGGAGGAGCTGGAGAGCCGCGGCGGGGCCGCCGTGGCGCGAGGCTGGACCGTGACGCGCCTGGACGTGGCGCGCCACGAGGCCGAGCTGGCGGCGCCGGGCCGCGCGCCCGTGCGCGTGGCCTACGACCGCTGCCTCGTGGCCACGGGGCTGCGCCCGCGCCGCACGGGGCTGCTGCGCGCGGCGGCCGAGGGCGGGCGCGCCTTCACGCTGCGCGGCGTGCGCGACGCCTGGCGCGTGGCGCGCGAGCTGCGCCGCGACGACGTGGCGCGCGTGCTCGTGCTGGGCGGAGGCTTCCTGGCCGCCGAGCTCAGCGCCGCGCTGGCCGAGCGCCGTACGTATGCCCCGCCGACTCGCTTCCGTACTGTGCCTGTTCTTCACTAGCTACTCGATCAGCAATGAACTGTTCGATAAGACTGTCGATGATGATGATGTGACGCCTCGCCTCATCGATTAGAACGTTGATCATGTAGAAAACGGTTCTTATATTTCTCCACATTACTCATTCAAACCGGCAGCGATACAAACTACGCACTCGACGGTCGGTTCGTTCGAGATAGATTCCTTAGAACTGAGGGCGTGTTGCAGTGTCGCCGGAGGGCCGGAGCGTGGTGCAGGTGTTCCGCGAGGAGGCGCCGCTGGCGAGCGTGCTGCCGCGCTACCTGGCGCAGGAGGCCGCGCGGCGCCTGCGCGACAGCGGCGTGGAGCTCCGCGCCGGAGGTGAGTGCCGCCCGCGCAGCCCCCCCACCCCTCGCCGGGTGACGCCTGTGCTCACGCCCCGCCCTTTGCAGCCGAGGTCGTGAGCAGCGAGATGGGCGAGCGCGGCGTGCGTTTGCAGCTAGCGGACGGCGGAAGCCTGGAGGCGGACCTGGTGTTGGAGTGCGTGGGCTCGGAGGTGGCTGAGGAGCTGGCGCGGCGCTCGCAGCTGGAGACGCACGCGGAGCTGGGCGGGCTGGTGGTGAACGCGGAGCTGCAGGCGCGCAACGACGTGTTCGCGGCGGGTGACGTGGCGTGCTTCTACGACGTGGTGCTAGGCCGACGCCGCGTGGAACACCACGACCACGCCGTGGTGTCGGGGCGCCTGGCCGGCGAGAACATGGCCGCCGTCAAGCCGCCTCAGCACTACACGCACCAGAGCATGTTCTGGAGCGACCTCGGCCCGCAGCTCGGCTACGAGGTAAGACACGAAGTCACTACGCCCGCGCCGGTCCTGATCCTCTAAGATAATAGAAGACTATCTAAATGTTAACTGCCGTGTTGTTTCTGCCCTGCCCTTTTGTTCAGATGCAATCAAAACAAAAGCAAAGCACTCGTTTAAAATTTCTTACGCAGTATGTAGTTTCCAATATAAATGTGTACATTTTTCTAAGGTAAACAAATTAATTACCAAAAAATAAGAAATGCTAGTAGAGTACCTGCCACCGATTGAATCCATTAAATTAATGGTACTCTTTTTGAAATTCTGCACCGGATATTCAGTCCGGAACATGCGGTCGGGGCGATTTGTTCTTTCTTCGTCCGTAAATATCAGGGACGTGTTAGGTCACTTTGGGTGGAGCGGTTTAATGAGACTTCACGTCGCTCCGCAGGCTATAGGTATAATCGACTCACGGCTGCCCACCGTGGGTGTGTTCTCGGCGGACGCCGTGACGTCCGCCAGCAAGGCGGTGGAAGTCGCCGCCGCGGAGGCGCAGGCGGGCGAGCCCGAGGGGGGCGCGGCGCCACAGCCGGTGCCGATAGCGTTGGTGCCGGAGCCGCTGGGGGAGGGGGCGGAGTCGCGGAGCTACGAGCGCGGCGTGGTGTTCTACCTGCGCGAGCGGCGCATCGTCGGTGTGCTGCTGTGGAACCTCTTCAACCGCATGCACGTCGCGCGCCAGGTGAGCTGTCCCCCACCGCCGCGGCTGCGATAGCTGCACGTAATGAGTGGCCGGTACCGAGACTGTTTGTGTGTGCGCAGGTCCTGGCGCAGGGCGAGTTCGACGACCTGTTCGAGGTGGCCAAGCTGTTCACGCTGCACGAGGACGAGTAGCGAGGAGAAAGTCACGAGTCCTGCATTTACTGTTATAATGTTGTACATAACTAATATAAAATTAAACAAACAATCTAGGTATTACATTTGGTATGTTATTTCTGCTCGGCTCCGACGACTGCACCGGCCGGCATTCTCGTTCCTCGACATTGCTTAGTTATTTATATATTAGAAGACGAACAGCGGTAACATCCAGCCAACTACAGGTCCTCACCATTAATAACTGTTACGATCAAAATGTAAGAGGGCTTCGTACTAATTTCCTTTCTCAAGTACTGTTATGCGATTATGACTTCATATGCCTAACAGCCGATTATTTTGACCGTGAATACTTTGATAAAAGATACGATATTTACCGTAGTGATAGGTATGCCTTGGCGAGCGGTGCGGGGCGGGGCGGCGGCGTTGCCATCGCAGTGGACTCAGTGGACTTGGCCTGACGCGCTCTGGGTGTTTATACCTCTAACCCCATGTACCTACTGACTGCACGTACCTGAATATTGTGTTTGTTTATATTCCTCAGGGCCTCGGTTACCGTACCGCTTTGGAAGGTTGTTTATACTTAACTAAAAAGTTAATAAACGACCACCCTCAAGATTTGTTTATTGTAATGGGCGATTTTAATATTTCCAATGCAGTTTGGACGGATTATTTACCGTGCGCGATGTCCTTATCTGTTGATGGCACTTACGCCGTTCAGTCGCTAAGTGAGTGTCTTGCTCTTACTGATATATAACAATACAATGGAATACGAAACTCTATGAATCGCTTACTTGACTTAGTTTTGTGCACCGAATTATGTAAGGTTACTCGCTGTGATCGACCACTAACTCCAGAAGACGTATTTCACCCAGCGCTTTCAATAACTTTTTCTAATTTCCGCAATGCGGACTACCCAAATATTATTAATGAACTGTATAAAGTCGATTGGGACTCTTTCTTTGGTTCTTTAGGTATGGAGAACAGTATTTCTGTGTTTTATAGCTTTTTAAATGATCTGATATTAAGGTATGTTCCTCGTCGTTTGTTTTGACCAAGATCTGACTGCTCTCGCCTCTGACAAAAATGTAAAAATTTATTAAAATGATTTGGATTGTAATCGTATACACACATGATCTAGATGTTCTATTAACTTATGGAACTATTAGGTCTATAAGTACATACAAATATGTTTAATTTTTAAATGTCAATGACTGTTTGTTCCTAAATAAAAATAAATAAAAAGAAATTGCACCAACAAGAACATAGTGTATAAAAAAATTTTAAATCTTTAGTCAATGAAATCAAATCATAATTAAAATTAAATGAAAATTAAAATCCAAACCAAAATTAAAATCAAATCTGTTTACGTTTACTGCTTTCTGAATGTCAATGATAATGATGTTCAGAAAAACTCGAATGAGTTTATGTGGAATCGTAAAGCCTGCGTACCCATTTTGTTACTAATATTATAATAAATAATAAAAAAAAGACCACATCATAATTAACATTTATAATTTAGTAGGGGTAGTTTCCCTAACATTACTGCTAGTTTTATGAATGATCAGACAATTTTACCGAATGATCATTTTATTGCTACTAAGTTAAGTACAAAAATTAAGTGTGTAAAGTTAGTGCCTATGCAATACGAGTGCAATACAAATGCGTGAACGCAAGCTAATTTCGCGTACATGCGCCCGCACAGGAGACAATAGATGATAGGTAATTAAATAAACATCACCCAGGTAAATTAAAGTCACCCAGTATCAGTACATCATCGACACCATTCATCACGCCATTCACGTTATCTAATAATTTATTGAGAGACTTGAAGTCGGTCGGTGGGGGCATAAACACAGCACAATTGGCGATTATATTCAGAGTTGTTATAATTTAATTGTATAGTGAAGGTGAGCTCATGTGCTTGCTGTATAAGAAGTTAACCTACCACTATATGCGATAAATATTGGACACTTCATATCCACTAATATTTGCATTTTTAAGACGTCCCCCCACTAAATATACCACGTAGCTTTGTGGTAGAAGAATCGTCCCGTACAACAGCATGATGAGGCAAGAAGCACTCCAGCTGTTTACTATGAAAAGTCGCTGATTTCATATATCCTTCGCATTCGCTTATAAATTGCTTATATTGTTACGCTGAATACTCTTGCTTGCTAAATTTCTTTTCTAAATTTCTAAATTGTGCTATCGCAATTTCCTTTGACGATCCTACTTTTTCGCTCAATTGTTGTTTTAAACGGTAACCTAACCTAAAAAACAACCTGTTTCTAATCGTTTTTTAGGCGAGACGTAATAATCAACACAAGATTGATCTTCGGTTGACATTTCATGTTGCTCATGGATATCCTCAATCTGCCAGAACTGATGAATATCCGCTGTATTATTTAAAGTCACATTGCAGTGAAAAGTATTTATACCGCCACATAATATCTATCCAAGCTGAGTTTGCTGCGCTAAGGGCGATGTTGCATTTGAGCCCTTTAAAGTACCGCCTAACATAATAAGCGAGTATACGTCAGCCCCGTGTAATAGGTCTACAGGGCGACTTGTGTAGTATTCAGGATCGCCTAAGTTCATGACGCCATCATTGTTACATCTGTTTCTTCATCGCCATTCTTCTCCATGTTTGTGTGTAGTACCACTCCAGGTTCTCTTGCTTGTAAACTTTCTGTGTTGCCCATTGTGGTATCTGTTGATGTTCTGGTCTCTTTGGTTTCGTGAATTAGCGAATGATGACGTTTCTTGCATATTTGACAACTTGTTGGAATGCGACATTGCCTCACAGAGTGTCCGGTTGCAAGGCAGTTGAAGCACAAGTTGTTTGTTTTGGCAAATTCACTTCGTTGCGATGGTGTATATCTTCCAAATAACTTGCAATGGCTAAGGGTGTGTTTTTCATCAAGTACGAAAACGCCCTTCCAGAAACTTGCGAAATAACTCGAGGAATGGAAGTTTATCGGAGTCATGGCAATTGTAGCTTACATGCTCTTCCCAATCTTTATGAGTTTCACTATCTAATTTCTGCACCATTACGAATATAATTATCGGGTACCAATTTATCTGTGCTCACTTTCATGTTGTTAAGATGATGCAAGCATTCAAAACTAGTATCCAGCTAATTCTTAATTTGATTTGAAGTATTCAAAGTTGTCTTCTTATGTGAAAAGAATCTTTTTAATGTTTATGCGATTGTTACCATACCTTGTTTTAATGTTTCCTACGCCTTTTCATAATTAGACTCCGTCACTTGTACATGTTTTAATATATGTGCAGCTACTCCCATTATACTTGTTTTCAAATAATGTAACTTTTGTACATTACTTAAAGATTTGTTCGTGTGCACAGTGAATTGAAAAGGCCATGAAAGGACATCCATTCTTCATATTGTCCGCTGAACGCAGGTAACTGTATTTTCGGTAACACTACGCGATTTTGTTGAGTATCACTGGACATAATAGCTGATGAATTGCTAACACTAATTTCGGGTCACAATAATTCTATAAGATCCGACTTTAACATAATATATAATTCTTCATGCTCGTAATATTTATTTTTGTACGGTAGTTCTTTATCCCTCGGCGCATGGCGTATAATTTCATTATAGGCTTGTTGGTATTTATTCAAATGATCTTTTACACATTTAAGGCGAGTTTTTACGTAATTTCGCGTTAATCCTGCCTTTGGAGCTTTTTCAAATTCACATGTGTGTTTCTTAAGGTCTTCGCAATATGTTCCACCACATTTAACGACTCCTGCACTTCCGTAGCCGTTGTAAACACGAAAGTTTGTTTTATGTCACTCGCGATATCTTTCATATTATATCAAACGTTTATATATCTTGTATAGCGTTGTTAAGTTCACGTGTACTAAACATTCCTTTGTTTTCAAACGGCCGGTGCTCAGATAGCCGACTCACCGCAAAATGAATCTGTTCACAACTTATTCGGCTCGATTATGGACCATATGTTCATGCAGTTAGGTTGACTTTAGTTTAATGTTAGGGAAGAAATAAAAACACGTGTGGTTTGTCTAGTTATCTATTGGACACTGAATGTTCGAAAGTTAAAACATATGCTGAATTATTGAGGCGTACAGAGTCACTGTCTAACGTTTGCGACAAGATATGTACTAACAGAGGATCCCACGTGCTAATGTTTATTAAGTTTTTAGTGGCGTGAAGACTTTCTAACGATAAGTCATGCAATTTCTTAATAGCTGAAAATGATTGCTGTTTTACGTTAGGCAAATTTAAAAATGAATTAACGTGCATTGTAAATATAAGTTTCTTGTTATCAAACCGATTATTTGAAATCTCCCAACAGACTATGTAATTGTCAGAACCTATTGGTAGGTGCTGTATCAAGCGTTCGGCTTCACCTTTTCCTTTGCTTTTCAGGAATTGCATTTTTTGAGCATTTGATAATGATGTGTTCTTGTGTATGGCTTCGTCAATAAGGTCTTTAAACGAAACCCACTGATGATAGTTTCCCGTAAACACAGGGATATCCATTTTCGGTGTAGCTTTAGCGTGGTGTGAGGTAGACCAAATTTTTAAATTGATTGCCTTTTTCATGCTAATGTATGTGCGCTGTTGCTTATTATAATTTGACTTATAGGCTTGGTTTTGCTCAGTCTCACCCTTGATTTCCCAGTGGAGGTTGTCAATGACATGCCAGCGGTTTTGCAATGTCTGGAGGGCATCGTCAAACTCCCATTTGTCAGCTAATGTATACAGATTTATATTATCAACTGTTCGTATAAATGCTTTGAAACTGACTGACTGCTTGTGAAGCATATCGTCCAGCTTACTTGAAGAACTTCTCGATATAGTAGTCGGATATGTTATGCTTGCTGTTTAGACTGACGCATCGAAGCGCCAGTCATAGTTTCCTGCTCATGAGGCGAGGGCTGATCTCGTTGCCTCACCTCTTCTTGACGTTTCTTGATCGGAGTTTGCATTGTCAAATAAAGTTCCCTCGTTCTCTCATACTCCGAAT